GGCAGTCTCAGCGTCATTTGGCGGTCATCTAACAGCTCTTTGATTCAATCGAAAGTTTGTTGTGTGAATCATTCCGATCACTTGGTTGAATTGTGTTCGTAATTATTTGTATTGATTTTTGTTATTTTTGAGACTAGGTTGACTAGGATGTCAACTGAGGATTGTGTTATCTTCTGTGAAATTATACTCAATGATTCGAATAAACCGATTTATGAAACATAACCATCAACAATACCAAAATATTATTGTTCTTTATCTTTTCTAGCTCATAGAAATATAGAAAAATAAGCTGTTAATAAATCATATCTACTGTCGGAACTGATTTATAATACACAGTAAGGAATGTATAGCTGTTGATAGATTGTCACCAGTTTGGATTGGACACCATTTAATAAGATTCAAAAAACACATATGTGACTTAGTTGTAAGCTTCTTTTAATTTTATTTGTCTTTTTTTCAAAAACTGATATTATTATTATTATTAATATAACAAGTTTTCGTGATTATCTTATGTTTTCTTTTTATCAGTCTGTTGAATCCAGTTCAATTACAAGTGTTTTTGAAAAACTCTATGCTTATCGAAAACAGGTATGTACCGATTAATTGAAGAATAACATTATTATCTGATGCTTTAAAACATTTCATCGAACTTGAAGCATGATGTCAGTCAGTCAGTCAGATGCAACGTAGAACTTTGTACGTAAGTACATCAGTTCATGTCGACATACCACATCAGCACAGAGATGTAATTGTCAATTCAAATCCAGTAGTAGAAGAGGTAGTAAAGGTATTAGAAGTAATCGGAGGGGTTAGGATTAGAAGATATTATTCAAGAAGTATGATTCAGTGAGATAAGTTTAGAAAGTCAAAACTAGAGGGGTTGAAGAATCCGGAAGATTAGGATTCGAGAGAAAACAGAAATTTTGAGACATGTCACTCAAGGTCTCTAACCATCGATTATTATCATCTCGCGGACCCCAACCACGTAGTCGACAATTACCGACATGGCTAAGTCCATTCGTCAATGACTTCATGGATTTGTGCCATGTTTTGGTTTGGCCGCCCCTAGCTTTCTTCCAACCTACTCCTACACTACAAAACAAAGCTCTTCGAGGCAGTCGGTGGTTAGGCATACGCAACACATGTCCCAACCACCTCAACTGATGAAGTTTCACCACTTCATCTATTGATCTTCCATTCTTACCTAGCACCCGATTCCTAATAACAGCGTTGCTCACTCGGGTGTCCCAGGATATACGAGCAATGCTTCGAAGACGCCGATGATCGAAAACCAGTAACCTACGAATATCTTCTACTCTCATTGGCCATGTTTCACAGCCATAAAGTAAGACGGAGCGAACCACTGCACAGTACACTCGTCCTTTAGTCAGCAAACGGATATCTCGCCTACGCCATAAGTGATGCAGGTTGGCAAAAGCCAATCGAGCCTTCTGTATCCGTGCGGAGATTCCGTTAGTCACCAGGCCATCGTGACTGATGAGACTCCCGAGATAAGTGAAGCGGTCTACACGTTCGACTACTTCACTCCCTATCACTAGTTCAGGTGCGGATGCAACCCAGTCTTGAAGCATGATGAAATTATTTTGTATTCTTGAATGCTAAAAATTACAAATTAGAGAATATGATAGTCTAAACAGATATACATTCTCTTGAATGTATTTATATTGTACAAGAGAAAATGTTTTTAATATTAGAGTGGTTGATGTAAATGTATTGTATTCCACCATCATCAATCAATTTGTTCCAGTTAATTCAATGTGAAGTTCTTTCAAATGATTTGGAATTGTTTATTTGAATTTATGTCTAATGTTTGCATAGTTATGACTTGGATGGTTAAAAGTTTTGTTAAATTGGGCATCAGTTGTTTTCATTCTACTCCACTACAGATTTGTTACTTCTACTTGTTCTGTCGACATCTTAATTCATAACTTTTGCTTTGTTCAGTGCACGTTCTAAAGACTGTGATAATATGATTTTACACTAATGACGTAATATCATGATAATACTATTGTGAGGATTATTTATTCTGGTTAGGGTTATTTTTGGGTGAGTTCGTTTTCTATTGGATGATGGTATCGCGAACCTGATGCCCAATCCTCCTCCTTTTTACTCGAGCTTGAGATTGGCAGTAACTCTACTGGAGTTACGAATTGGACGATGCTGCTGGTCGGCGGCCTCTGCTCCATTAGAGATAACAGGCCTAAATAGTAAGGTTGTATTGTTTAGATTGGAATATCACCCATATGTTTATCAAGTCCAGTCGGAAGTCTGAGGGTTCATGTGTTGTCCATATGAATTAGTGTTTGGGAAATGTCTAATAATAATGATGAATTTTCAAAATATCTAAATTGATCGTTTCTCATCATCTCATGAATTGTTGTTGAGATTTATCCTACTCTTAAATGATTATTTATGAAGAGCTGTTCATACATGTTTATATGATGTTAGTTTAATGATTTATGGATTGTGATTCTTATTATTCTTAATTATTATTATTATTATTATTATTATTATTATTATTATTGTTATTATTATTGCAGTTTGATAAAATTGTTGTTTTTGGCGATTGTCACAAAGCAATTGTTGATTATGTTATCAATTATCGTACATACATTGGATCATTGAAAGCAATTTGGGGCAATTTAAGCGGTGAAGATGTTTGGTAAATATTTCATTATTATTGCATAATTTCTTGAGATATATATGTGAATTCTAATGATTATTATTTCATCTTTTCAATGATTGTTTGAACACATTAAAAATTAAAAAAATGCACACAATCTTGTGTAACAGGTTATCTATCATCTTCTTTCCTAACATGTATTTGAAAGCTGATAAAACAAGCACATCATTTATAACCAATAAAGATCATTAAAAGGGGTAATTATTTGATTATTGAAAGTATTTGGTGGTTGTGAAAGGGATTTCAACTTGATTAACTAAATTTAATTAACAAGATATTATCCTTTAACATCGACACTTCACCAATCTGCTGTAATCTACACAATCCGACTGGATTACATGATAAAACTATAGTTATAAAATTAAAAATAATTGTCTTGTTGTCTAATGTGAGATGTGGTCAGTCAGTCAACTACAACGTAGAACATGATATGTATGTGGTGCATCAGTTCAAGTTGCCATTACCAGAGTAGCACACAGAGATTGAAAAGTCGATTCGAGTCCCATAGCAGTAGAGTTAGTAGAATTACTAACGGTCATCAAAAAGATTAGCGTTCGAATATATGACTTGAAAGGTATGTTACAGTAGACTTAATTTGGAAAGAGAACAAAGGTCATGAGGAATAGCGATGATTAGAATTTGAGAGATTCCAAAAGAATTTGAGCCATGTCATTCAAAGTATCTAACCGTCATTTACCGTCTTCTCGCGGACTGGAATCAGGTAGTCTACATTTACTAACATTACTCAGTCCAGGTATCAGTGACTTCATAGATTTGTGCCATGTTATGGTTTGGTCGCTCCTACCTTCGTTCCTTTCTATCTCTACATCACAAAACATTGCTCGTCTAGGCAATTGGAGGTTGTGCTTACGTAGTCCATGTCATAACCACCTTGACTAATGAAGATTTATGACTGGATCTGCCATCCTTTTCAAGTACCCATTTCCTAACAACTACATTGCTTACTCGACTGTCCCAGCATATACGAGAAATGCTTTGAGAACACCTATAATCGAATATTAGTTATCTACTAATACGAGTGAAGTGTGGTAAATTGAATTAATGCATATCTTTGTAAGATGATGGTATACTGTCTAGGGATAGATTTTATTTTCGTTGAATATCGTCTGTCCTTCTATTTATGCTGTTATTCAACAAATAATGCACATGGATCGTTATCCAAATTTTGTGATAACATGGATTAAACAGTCTAAAACCATTGAATACAATACGGAGTAAATTTATTGCAGTCTCAGTTACTATGATTAGCAAACGTGATTAGTGATTAGCAATGAAATTCAGAGCGCGCATTTTGTCCAATTTAGGACTTGGATGTGCCTGCATTTCAGAGTTGATGCTCACTGCATGACTTGAACGAGGTACCTTTCTTTTCAAATCCCATCGCATTATCCACTTAGCTACGGAGCCTTGCTTGTGCAATCAGATGAAGATTAATCCATTTGTATGGGTTGCTTCAATTTTACCACTGATTTTTAGGACTGCAATTAGTCAGTCAGTCAGTCAGTTGCAACGTAGAACTTCGTACGTATGTACATAAGTTCATGTTGCCATACCACATTATTAGCACAGAGACGCAAATGTCAAATCAAATCCCATAGTTGTAGAGATAGTAGAGATGTTAATGGTAATCAAGAAGGCTAGAGTTTGAAGATATTATTCAAGAAGTATAATTCAGTGTGATAAGGTTAGAAAGACAAAGGTAGAGGTGATGACGAATCCAGAAGATTAGGATTTGAGAGAGCTCAACGAATGGATGCACTTGCGCCATTTCAAACGATTCTGAGCCATGTCGTTCAAGGTCTCGAACGATTGGTGACTTTCATCTCGCGGGCCCCAACCATGTAGTCTACATCTACCATCATGACTCAGTCCACTTGTCAGTGACTGCAATTGGTCAGCTTCAGTTTGAAGCTAACGGCTTTGGATTCGAGTCTCGGAGTAAATATAAACTCTGAAATGAATGCACATCTAGCCAGGAGAATCCCAAATATGGCGAAACACACATGCTGAATTCCATTACGCTACTGTCCACCACTGCTAATAATAATGCTTGTAACCTAAAGGCAATATCAAGGCAATCGCACAGAATGACACATACACCAAAGTAAACTGGTCAACTTACAATCTTAACTTTCAATGTGAAAATTCAAACTACCAATTAAGATTAATTAAAAATACCATGAGTTTATTTATATTTTTAGGGCTAAGTTTGTTGTTTTTGTTTCACTTACCACCACAATAACGATCATGTTAATTAAAATGTTACAAAATGCACAAATCTAAGTGAATAATGTAAATCAGTTTGTGTTTTTTTTCATAATTTTTTTTCTTCAAAGGCCAAAATCATGTAATAAAAATGGTTGGATTGAATTTAAAGGATGTACAGATCAAATTTTACGTTATATTGCTGAACCAAATGAAAATAAACTACTTGAACGTATTGAAAAAATGGATGAAATCTATGATTTAAATAAGAATAATTCATATTATTTTAATTTAAAAATAAAAACACAAGAAAATCTTAATCATAGTATATTATCTAAATGTGATTATTTTAGATCAGGGTAAGTAATTTTAGTTTTGGAAAAAATTTTAAATGATACGAATGTAGATAACTCAACTCCATCATGATCTTTTTTAAACTCGGTTCGAGTGTAAAGCAGTGCTTACCGAAGACAGTAGATAATAGAGTTGTGCAAAATTCTTAGGTTGATCGAATTTATTTATACATTAACACTGTTAGATACCGGCTCAATGGTTCAGAGGTTAAGCGTTCGCGCTCAAAACCAATCTTCCTAGGTTTGAATCCTACGAATAACAGGTGTCGTGAATGCGCACTATTGATGAGTCTCATAGTGGAATGGAACGGCTGCCTAATGATTCCACGTTACGAATGGTGGTCTAACACTGGTAAAAATTCATGATTTCAAAAAGTTTCAATATTTCACAACTCTATATAAGTATTTTTGGAAAATTTGAAAATCTGTTCGAATAAATGATCTTTTTCAAGCATATATCACTTTTTGTTAAATGATATCAATGTATCCTATCGAATGATGTCTTATTGGTTTTTGATCTTTACAACTGGACTATTTACGAAATGCATAATCCTTGTTAATATTTAGAATTGTTTATTTCATTTGAATTTATAAGCAACGTTTTTGATTCATGTAAGCTGTTGATTATGTATACCTTAAAATTGATCATACCAAATGTAATCTTAGTTTTTTGAGTTGGATTCATGCATTCATTGTCTGCAGTAGAACGTCATTTAGAAAAAAAAGTCAACACATTGTACTTACTGTCTCTCTATCCTGTTCTGTTTTCTCATTTAGATGGAGATGTTGTCAGATGTTTATTTCATCAACATTTCGTGATATGCACGCTGAACGTGATCTATTATGTGGTGTACTTATACCTGCTTTACGTAGAAAAGTTGCATTAAGTTTACGTGTTCATTTAAATGAAATTGATTTACGTTGGGGTATACCGGAAACAGCTACATATAATTCAAAAGCTTTAGAAATATGTTTAGGACAAGCAGCTGCAAGTGATATCTTTGTTTTATTATTGGGCGATCGGTAATAATGCTTTATTTGTTAAATATATATATATTTTTTTTCAATAAAACTATTAAATATTTCATTGAAATCACAAACAGATCTATGTTAGATAACCATTGAAAGCTTACAAACAATAAGCGGATGTTTCATTCCAGTATGGAATTGCTTAGTATATTGCACATTTAAGATCTTGCAACCAAGAATTGAACCTAGATCCTTTGGTCTTTCACATGTGAACGCTTAACTTTGGATCCAATGGTGTATTAAGTATTTGATGAAATATTCATTGGCTTTTTCTAAATGTATTCGTTGAGTTTAGGTAACACTTTTCGCAAGTGTATGTATGTAAGTGAAACCTATAGTCTTGTAGGTTAACTGTGCTAGTGACATATGATTGATTAGTTATTACATTTGTTATTAAAATGTTATATATAACAAGTTCAAAGTCATTTTTGTGGGACTTGTCATTGTAGTTGACGCTTCAAAGAATCGTTCTATGTAATTAACAGCAAAAAGGAACTTTAAATTCGTTTCTACTATGTTTATATTGTGGTTCACGAAATGGCTACTCGAAATTCTACCGATTGACTCACCTGAAGTATTCCAGTACGACTGTAAATTCTGTTTCATAAATCCCTAATACATCAGAGCATAAAACCGTCAAATCCAAATTGTTTATGGGATTAGAATACAGCCTGGAACATTACAGACAATGTATATTTATACAGTTAGGTCGATCGTCACTATTGACCAATAGGAAACGAGATGTGAAGACATGTGAAAAGTGTGCAATTAGACTTAATAGAATAATTTTTTGGGAATATTTTTATGATTATGATTTCATACCCTGTTAACCTCTATGCTGTTAAATCAAGTATAAAACATTAAAAAAAAATCAAATCGTAATGAAATAAATACTTGATCCTTAACAGCAGTAAAACTTCTATCATTGGACCTATTCACTTGACTAATTCATTCAACCGTTTCCATTGAACATCATCTTATAGACGTTAAAATAAATGAATTGATTGATTGCGAACAAGTTGTTGTTGTGTGGTGCGCGCTACTTATAAGTAGTATATGACGCGAGTGAAAACGTAATGTCTGGCAGCAGTAGATGGCGGAAGATCAAGATAGGAAGAGTGGGAACACAATGGAATTTGTATGAAACGCATGAATAGTGAAATGTCAGACAATGGATTGAAGATTTGCAAATTAACCGTTTATGATATGGTTTTCCTATTTTACTGAGTAACTCTGTAGTTTTCGTTAAATACAATCCGGTTGCCCTCACCTGTGTTCTCCTTCATGACAGTAGTAGTTAGTGATTGATTTTCTGATCATACTTTCAACCTGTCGAGTATATTGAGTTTATGTATATGCAATTAGTTAAGTGAATGTTAACGAGATGATTAGCTTGAATTAATTATTTATTTCTAATTCTATTCAAAAATTATACATTCCTCTCTCTATTTTTAAAAAAAAAACTTTTTATTTCAGTTATGGTTGTATACCAAAAGAATGTGAAGTGAATGCATTGCCCGAACCATTATTATCTGAAGTGTATAAATTTTATCGACCTGGAATGTCTATCACTGAAATGGAATATCAAATGGCTAGACAATCTGTTATGTTTAAACTGCCCATTCATGAAAAACAACAACCGAATGAGATAAGTTTTCATGAAGCAATACGTCATCGAATATGTGTGTTCATCAGAGATTCAAAATCTACAAAGTAAGTTCTAGTCAGTTAGATGTTTGTTTCTCTATGCAAATGAGTGTGTATTCGTTAAATTACATTTTGAATTCAAATAAATCAACATCATTGAAATCATCAAGAGAGTGAAGTAGTCAAGCGTATTGATCGCTTCACTTATCTTGGGAATCTCATCAGTGCTGATGACCTGATGACTGACGTAATCTCAGTGCACGGATACCGAAGGTTTGATTGGCTTTTGCCATCCTTCCTCATTTATGGCTTCAGGAGAGATAACTATTTAATTAGGTTTTGAATTCAACATCAACATCAACATCATTGAAATCACCAAATCGATCATTGTTAAAACTACCTACCATTAGTAACTTGAAAGGACTGGCCGGTCGTTTCATCCGAATATGGAACAACTTATTAGCAGTACGCATTCATCCATCCATCTATCCATCCCTTAACAATGATCAATTCATTATTTCAATGAAACTTAATTGTAATTTTAATAATATATATACAAATTCTTAATTTTTTAGAAGTGTACCAAATAAATTGAAACATTATTTTCAAGAGAATGATATTGAAAAATTGAATCGTCTTAAAGATTTCAAAGAATTAATTCGTAATGATGGTGTAATTGTTAGTCATAAGTAAGTGAATTTGAATAATAATAATAATAATAAATTTTAAAATGTTCAATTGTTATGTAAACAAAAGTTCTTGATATACTAAACACAATCTTTTGTGCATAGTACTACAAGTTTTAGCAATTATTATTATTATTATCGCTCTCTGGAAATGACATTAACTTATGTGTTAAGGTAGGTAGAGGTGGCTTATCAGCAGATCAAGCCTTATTCTTTCAACTTTTCGATTACAGATTTGAACTGCGCGTCTCATAACTTAGTTTAGACTACTGCACAAGTCTCACATCACAAGTTTGGCTGAAAGTGAATCACATAAGCTTGCAGTTATGGTAAATTGATATTCCATCTTGACTTATCAGTTTGCTGCCGATAACATAGTTCTGTATGATGATGACACTGACAAAGTACAAAATCTTCTGACCACCTTAAGCAACAATACAAGCATGTTCAGGATGGGATTCTGCACTTGAAAATGCAAAATGTTGCTTCATCGTAGACCTGAGCCATTTATGCTGTAGGTGAGATATCTGTTTGCTAACCAAAGGACGAGTGTACTGCGCAGCAGTTCGTTTCGTCCCTACTATGAGAGTGTGAAACATGGCCATTAGTAGTAAAGGGTATTCTTAGTTTACTAGTTTTCGATCATAGGTTTCTTCGAAGCATCGCTCATGTATCGAGGATCATAGAGTAGGCAATATTGGGGTTAGAAAAAAGGTACTAGGTAAGAATGGCCAATTCATAGACGAATTAATGAAACGTCACCAGTTGAGGTGGCTGGAACATGTATTACGAATGCCCAACAGTCGACTGCCTCGACGAACTATGTTTTGTGACGCAGGGGTAGGCTGAGAGAAAGCTAGGGGCGGCCAAATCAAAACATGGCAGAAATCCTTGAAATTACTGATAACTGGACTGAGTTATGTTAGTAGGTGTAGACTATCAGGTTGGGGTTCGCGAGACAGTTTTAACCTCTGGTTGGAGACTTTGAATGACTTTTGGCTCGAAATCTTTTTCAATGGATGACCATCGCTCATCCAATATTTCTCATATTTTATATGATAGTCTTAGGTTGAACTGATGATTAGTAGATGATTGCAATCTACAGATGTCTTTTGTTTTTACCAGTTATATTTCTCACAAAATAATTTAGAATGGATATCTATGTGAGACAGAGAGATACCAGCTGTGAACACTTGATAACTAAAATTGTTTGAACTTAAGTTTTCAACCCGTTTTAACCTTAGTTATCAAGAAGTGTAAGGAATCTTCACATAACTTATGTATCTTGTAGAATTTCAATTCATACTTTCTAGTAACACAATAAGAGACGTTATCACACTGAGCTATGACCGAATGCTTGTATTGTAGTGATCGAGAACACAGGTGAGGGCAACCGAATTGTATTTAACGAAAATTACAGAGTTACTCAGTAAAATAGGAAAACCATATCGTGAATTGTTCATTTGCAAAAGATCAGTTCATCCTATCGAACTGGACTGTTCCTGTTGCAAAACATCAATCCATTGTCACTATTCATGCGTTTCATACAAATTCCATTGTGTTCCCACTCTTCCTTTCTTGATCTTCCCCCATCTTCTGCTGCCAGACATTACGTTTTCACTCGCGTCATATACTACTTATAAGTAGCTCGTACCACAGTATTATTACTGACATATTTCATAAATTGACTTGAATAGTTTGTTTTTCTTTTGATTATTAAATAATTACTCATTGTGTATATAAATATATATTTTTTTGTTTAGTTATTCTGCACAATTCAATGGTTTAGTGAATAATTATCCAATGATGGGAAATTTAGATGAATTCGGTAGTCAATTTCTTGAAACAATTCAATCTTTACTTTTACATTTATATCCTAATAATAATAACAATAATAATAATGGCGGTGATATTAGTACTATTAGTAGTAGTATTTCAGTAAGTTTCTTTTTTCATTGTTGATAAAATACTAACGTATGAATATTGTTGATTGTATACATTAGTGAACGACGGTATAGGAACCTGAATTGATGTACACACGTACGATGTTCTACATTGTAACTAACTGACTGACTGACTGATAGTATTAGTGGTTTTTTTTATTTGATCCAGTTAATGTTTGTTTGTGTGATTATGCTGTTTATTGTGTACTGATGCATTTGAATGCAATTGAAGTAGACTTTTGAGATGGTGGAGAAAACTTGTAGCTCAGGTGAATGATTGTGGTGGTGTTTCGTTCTCTGAGCTGGTTGTTTTGGTTGTGGAGCTTCCATTATTCTTCTGAAGAACATCAGATCAAAAGGGGAAAGCAATCAAAACAAAGTTACAAACAACGACAGGTCAAAAGTCAACAGCAACCAATCAAGATCGAGGTTGGCAGAACAAGCTATACAGGTCAAACATGGAGAAATTCGAATGCTTCACTTCTCCTATCTGAAGTTTGTGCTGATGATATTGTTCAGAAGAAGAACAATGAAAGCTCCACAACCAAAACAACCAGCTCAGAGAACGAAACACCACCACGAAGTGGACTTTTGTTTACTTACCGTTTTCTCACAATTTGAATTGAAGCAAGCATAATGAATTGTGAAATTTGTAACTGCAGTTGTACCGTATCAATTACCAAATTCATAGTTTGATGTTAAAATCACTATATCCACAAATGTTTATTGGAATAAACTAAAAATATTAAGTGAAAAACCAGATTTGATTTGCACCATTGTAACTAACTTATAGATTGAGATTATTTCTTGGACATCAAACTGCTAAGTTCCTATCGACGGATACGACCAAGTTCAACAGTTAGTGACTTCATTTATATACATATTTATACTCATGGTTTTTTAAAAATCTTTACATAATATCATCTATCTATTTCTCTGGACATTTGATAAGCAATTGACTAAAGACTATTAGTTCAGTTTTTTATTGACCAGTCAATTGGTTAAATCTGTTTCTGTTATAAACTTACTCAGATGTTTCGTTTCTTAATTATAGTGTTATTAATGTGCAGGATTACCAATGACTTCAAAAATGTTGTATTTCTACTTACTTCATGTTTAATTAATAATCTATTTAAATATTCGCTCATCTCATTCATGTTGACTCAAATTTAACGAGAAGCAAACAGTATTATCTTCGAAGCTCTGTATGCGTGTGTGCGTGCGTGCGTACAATGTATGTATCCATGTGTATAGGTATCTTCCAGGATTGTTAAAATCACATGATAATAATGTTAAATTTGGATTCTGTCTATTGAACTAAAATATTAATATCGTCAGTTCTACTGTATGGAGCGGAAGTTTGGAGAATTTCGAAAAGCATCATCCAGAAGATACAAGTGTTTATGAACAGTTGTCTACGCAAAATACTTCGGATTCGTTGGCCAGACACGATCAGCAACAACGTACTGTGGGAGAAAACAAACCAGATTCCAGTGGAGGAGGAAATCAGGAAGAAGCGGTGGAGGTGGATAGGACACACATTGCGGGAAGCACCTAATTGCTTCACGAGACAAGCCCTCACATGGAATCCTAAAGGCAGAAGAAAAAGAGGAAGGCCAAGGAACATACTACGCCGAGAAATAGAGAAAGATATAAGAGGAATGAACAAACATTGGACAGAACTGGAGAGGGAAGCCTAGGACAGTGTTGGTTTGAGAAAACTGGTGGGCGGCCTATGCTCCATTGGGGGGTAACAGGCGTAAGTAAGTAAGTAAGTAAGTTGCCGGCTCAGTGGTCCAGACGTAAAGTGTTTGAGCGCAAGACCTAAGATCTTAGCGCTGATCCCTGCCAGTAGCGGGAGTTGTAGATTCACACCGTTGATGAGTCCCATACCAGGACGAAACGGCTGACTATTGCTTCTAGGTTTTTAGTGGTTGTTTTTACCATCATTCATCGATTTTTGATTTCAAATTAATTTTTCATGTTCATGTTTATTTTTCAGACTTCTGCAAATAATTTGCCACTAGATATTAATAAGCCACTGAATACTATTGAATTCTTACGAGAATATGTTTATTCAGTTGCATGTGCTATTGGACCACGTCATCTTCTTGAAGTGGAACAAGCTTTTCATGCATTAACTGAACGTGGTCGTCAAGTTCACTTAACTCGTGCAATTCAATCAGCTGATAATAAATTTAATTTACAAAACAATTCGAATTATTCAAAAAACCTTCGAGGTAAAAGTTGTTTTTTTATTTGAGAAAAAATATCAAACAGAATAATTGTAAATTTAATTTTTCATTATAGAGTTATGCAGATTATTGAGTTTCATTGGAATTACCAGTTGATCATTGTTAGACCACCATTAAAAATTTGGAAGAACAGAACAGCCGTTTCGTCCTAGTATGGAGATCATCAGCAGTGTGCATCCACGATCGTTGCTTGCTGGAATCGAACCCGGGACCTTCCGTCTCGCGCGTAATCGCCTAACCTGTAGAACACTGAACTGGCGTTTAACGGTGTTGAAGTCTAACCTTAATCAAAACACGATTTTGCTGAACCGTTTTGTTGGCGGGACATAAATGGATTAAAGCATGATTGCGTTAGTTGCGTGATGATTGGCTAATTCCTATCCAATCAGTGCAAGTCGATACATTCTAGAACCTTCTCATTTAAAAACTATAGAGATACTAACGTTGTTCCTATTTCACCTTCACTTTGGTTTCTTACTTCCATTTAATCTGATTTGGGGACTTGTCGAGTGTATTGTTGTCAGAGAATTCAAGCAATAGGAATAGCTGGGATTTACTAAGAGAGAATTATAACACTTATCAATTGTATTTGGTAGTTACTGCCTACACTCGACATGGTTGAACTTCACTGGTCATGTCTTCACACTAGAACTATGAGAATTTCCTGACAATATGGTCGTGGATGTGCACTTCTGATGAGTCCCATACTATGACGAAACAACTGTCCACTGTTCCCAGGTTCCTAATGGTGGTCCGACAATGATTTGTTCATAATACAGATGTAATTCTAATTCTCGAAATTTGACTGATCGATTTTAAACTACATTTTTCATACAGATAGAAGGTTCAAGATTGTTTATGGTGTTTTTCAATCATAAAATACGATAATCTCACGAATTCTAACCAACCATGTCATTGATACCTGTTAATAAAACTATGTTGAACGGTCAGTTTATCCAAGCTTTCTTTCTAGTCTTAGCTAGGCATCAGAATCCATTGTTTAAATGTATACTGTGTAATCATTGGAATGCATATGTTTATTGATGAAATGTTATCTAAAATTTTACACATTAGTTATTCATTACTGATGGTGATTTTTCCAAAGACTTGATATTTGATTATTTGCTTTTTTTTATGATTTTTGTTAAGCTTTTTCCCTTATTCTTAAATTCAAATCATTCCTGTAGACAATTAGAGAGTAAACTTATTCACAATACACTAAAGCTAACATGTTCAGTTTTGTTTTTTCTCAATCATTAATTGTCCTGATATGTATATAACTATGTATATTGAAAACTGATCTTCAGCTATTTTACTTCTTGAAGTCGTTGTCAATGGGAGACGTACTTTTACGGTAATTAATATAATCTTGGATGGTTTTCGTCTTTGTGTGAGACTATTCGGCAGGGCGCATCCAGTAGTATTTAAACAGTAGTAAAACTTATGATATTCTGGTCTTGAAACAAGTCTTTACCTGACCGACTATAGCTGCTAGCTTGACATAATGGTCGGGTTTGCCTATCGTGATGACCCAACCGAGCTATATTAACCTGGAAAATATGTTCCTTTAGGTTCTACTGTGCTAGGTAGACAGATCGGAGAACAGTGAGACTAAAAGCAGCAACCGGAGGTCTGAGGCCGAAGTCATACTTCTGAATGTGGAGAGATGTAACTGTAGTTAGGTGTTTACATCAGATAACCAGCATGTACAGAGATGCTGATTTCGAATAACTGAACGGGTGTTATAAGAGGTCGCCATTGAAAATATCACACCTCACGTTATTCCAAATATTTCTTTTTCCAGCGTTAAGGCCTTTTAAAAAGAGCGGAGCTAACAATTTAAAAACTTTCTACAAAAGTCAATCTTTGACCGGCCTGAAACAGTTGTCTTGTGGGCTCTGCGGCACTGCTCTCAAGTCTCTAAGACCTACTCCACCCCAACTTCCTTTATACGTCCTTCGCGGAGAAATATCCTCCCACAGTGTGAGCAACCGAGAAACGACATCCGCCCCCATACTCCTAAGAGCACATGAGATCATGGAACAAATCTTTAACATTCAAACAGCACATTATGTTATGGGTCTATTGGTCTACATTTTCAACATTTATCAATCCCTTTGTATCACACGATTCTCACTCTGGATATATCTATAGTGTTAGATTACCTTAAAGTGCGAACGCTCTACTTTACAACGGTTAGATTAATTCTCATTTCATTCAGCATAATTGTTGTCTTAATTTAAAATTAACAAAATTTCTTCTTTTTTTGGTATTTTACCTTAAAGATTGTGATGGTAGTGTACTCTTGATTGTTGGATCGCCTGGTAGTGGAAAGACTACTTATTTATCTGCCCTAACAATATCATTGATCGAATCCGGTTGGTATACATCATCATCATCGTCGTCGTCAGCTTCAATGAATACAAAAGAACCAACAATATCTAGCTCACAGAATTCTACAATCATGAAACACTCTAAATCCATCATTACACGTCGTCCATCACTCACTAATAAACATCATCCTCATCATCATCATCGTTGTATATTGATACATTTCTCTAATGGTCTGCCAATTACTGGTCTATCACCAAAACGTAAATTAAATGATCTACTTAAAAACTGGTTAAATCAATTAATTAGACAACTTGACAATCTATGTGATTGTAATGTTACAGTGAAAAAATTATTCAATGAATTGAAATTATCATTGAATTTGCATAGAACACAAGTGAATGTTGATTTGAAGTGAGTGATTATTTGATTGTTGAATTTTTACTGCATGGAATCATTGATCATTAGTGATATATATGTATGTATATTCATGGTCAACCAACATGCCTGCTGCACATGCACATCGCTGCGTTGATATACAGCGCAAGGATACTCACTGTTGCCAACAGTACTGACCCCTGCCCCTTTCGGGTACATACATGTTGTCCGGTTTGGTCTGCAGACACATCGGACATCCAAAAAACACTCACACGAGCAGTGGCCCCTGCACGGGCACTTATGAATCAAGAAATCCCACCAACCAAACCACAGCCCACAATCCCCAATCGGCGAGGGCGGCAAGGCGGGCTTATCCTTCCGGACAAGGGACCCCGTAGCAGGTTACCGAGCCACCCAAGCAGTGCACTAACCAGCAGCCTTTCCAACCGTCTGGCCTCCAACTGCCTTGCGTTGATACAATCGATTGAGGCCCATCTTACCCCGCATTAAGCTAAAGATCGAGTTTGTCCCACAAGGTCAGCTAGAACGTACACCCTTCCATGAGGAAGATGTCATGGACTCGACCAAACGCAAGCGCTCAGCCAAGCAGGGTTCATCCCACAGAAGTGGGCAGACATCATTGGTGTTCAGTACCCTTTTCAGCACTGAAGCACCGGAACCCAACTTGAGACCCTTGATTAAGGGACCTCGACGCCAGTTCACACACAACATCGGGTGAAGCATGTAAGGGACAACCACATAGGGTCGGCGTCAGTAGTCCAGGATGTCTGCGGCTGCTTCCCCAAACATAAGGTCCAGGGCCGCCCTCGATCATCCTACTACATCCCTTTTGGGAATTTACCTACGCTTAAGGACGGGATTCGGACCTAGAGTCGTTCAATCTTAATCCCCCAGACTGGTCAGACGCATCCACAGCCTTGCGACCATGAGCTTGCCAATTATCATTATTACACATGATGATTTTCAATGTGACTTTCCATCTGTTGTTTATCTTTGAATTGTTGTTTTATAGATTAGTGAAAAGTATTGAGTTTCATGTGAAATTGTCGGAGTTCTAGCGAGAAGTGGTGACCAAATGGAGTTTAACCGTGTCGAGTGTAGGCAGTTACGCATTGCATCAAAGGCAATGGATAAGGTTGCGCAACACCTTGGATTTTTTATTTCAAGTTAGACATTGACGCTGATAAATATTGATTCAGTGGTTTAGACGTTAGGCGCGTTCGCGCACGAAACCAAAGGTGTTGGGTTCTATTCCCACGAGCCGGGATCATGGATAGGCATTGTTGATGAGTTTTGTACTAGGAAGAAACGGCCGTCCAGTGCTTCCAGGTTTTTTTCTAATCGTAATCTAACATTGACGGATTCATGATTTCAATGAAAATCGTCGAGTGTATAAATACTCCTGACATTGGAAAACGTTTCACAAACTCTATCTATCTATCTATCCCCAAATTACTATTCGATAATCTTTTTGATTATGTAACAAATTAAATATTTTATTACTATTATTATTATTATTATTATTATTATTATTATTATATTTCTGCCCTAGATTTAATATTCACTGCTTTACCCAACTCATTCACTTTATTGGCTACTTAAATGAAGTACAGTTTGCCTTTTTAATTGATGATTGTGATCTGTTGGAACCAATGACCTTGGAATGGTTACCACAAATTTTACCTAAGGTAAATTGATTCAGTCAAATTGTGTTTGGAAATTTTTTTTTATTTTCTGATTGTTTTTTCGGAGAAGAAGTTACTGTTTACTAATTGACTTGTTTTCTCTTATCTAATCATAACTGTATCGGAAACTATCATAGTTGCAACGATTTTGTAATCGTAGATTAGTTGGTTTCGTTTTCTCATTTCTTCTTTGGAAAAAAAATGAATAGATTCATTAGTTTTGATCTTACTGCAAATCTCCGGATTGTTTAAATTACTCCACAATAAACTTGACATTCAATCTTGTTCAATTAAATTTGACTGGAATTTTGGGAGATGTTGTCTTCAAAAGTTACCGTATTTAACACTTCAGTTTAGTAAGAAAATCTAATCATACAATTTTGACTACGTAGATTATCAAATTTGATTTATTAGCTTAATCAGGCATTTTTTGTAGTGTGTATGTATGTGCATACATATGATTCTGTTTTGTCCATAGAAATTCCTTGGGACCGGCAATAACCCTGAATGGTCTACAGAAGGAGTAGAAGATATTCGTAGGTTACTGATTTTTGATCATAGGTGTCTCCTAAGCATTACTCGTGTATCACGGGACAACCGAGTAAGCCATGCTGTTGTTAGGAAACGAGTACTGCGTAGGCATGACAAATCAATAGATGAAGTATTGAAACGTTATCAGTTGAGGTGTTTGGGAGTTATGTTTTGTGATGTATGAGTAGGTTAGGTGAAAGCTAGCGGCGGCCAAACCAAAACATGGCAGAAATCTATGAAGTCACTGACAAGTGGGCTGAGTCATGTTGGTAGATGTAGGCTATCTGGTTAGGGTCCGCGAGATGAAAGTCACCAATGGTTAGAGATCTTGAACAACATGGCCCAAAATCGTTTGTAATGGCGCAGTTGCATCCACTCTTTGTGTTCTCTGAAATCCTAATCTTCAGAATTCCTCATCATCTCTCTCTTTCTAAATTTATTTCACTGAATTATATCTTTGAACCTCAATATTCTTCATTACCGCTAATACTTCTACTATGTCTCTACTGCTATAAGATTTGAACTGACAATAGCATCTCTGTGCTAATGTACGTATAAACGTACGAAGTTCTACATTGTTCTACATTGACTGATTACTTTTCTGATAAATTAACAAATACAACGTTAAAGATTACTTAATTAATTGATCAGTATTTAGTGTATTTCACTCTGTGAAATTAATTTATTTTACCATTAGAACATGGTATTCATTATTCTTAGTTATTTCATTGCTTTTATTTTCTTCATAGAATGTTCGATTTGTGCTAACATGTGATTCTAAATCATCATTTGCTCATTATTTATCTAATCGTATTGATTGCCTACTCTTAACTGTATCTGGATTAACTACACATGAACGTAGTGCAGCTGTACGTAGTTTACTAGGAAAATATGGAAAAGTTCTGAATGAATCGGGTTTTCGAAATCAGGTAGATTACAATACTTTATTTTGATAGAATTCAACAACTGATTGATTATTAAATAATATCTGCAACTTATTTAATGTTAATTTTTCGGGGTTTTTTTTCTTTTGGACATAGTTTTTACACATTTGAAATCATCAATCAATCATTGTTAAACCACCATTAGAAACCTGGAAGCACTGGACGGCCGTTTCGTCCTAGTATGGATGCCGGCCCAGTGGTCCGATGGTAAGGCGTTCGCCTAAAATGCCAAAGGACCAGGGTTCGAATCCTGCGAGGAGCAGGAGTCGTGGATGCACACTGCTGAGGAGTCCCATACCAGGACGAAACGGCCGTCCAGTGCTTCCAGGTTTCTAATGGTGGTTTAACAATGATTGATTGATGATTTCAAATGTGTAAAAACGCAAACCTCCAAAACTGTGCCCCAAAATAGGACATAGTTTTGTCGGGTTGTTATTGACCCGGAATCGTAAATATAAATATATATCTTAAAAATACTGTACAATATATCTATAGTTTCATTTAAAATCATAAGTCGACCAATGTTTAGACCATCTTTGAAAACGTGGAAGCACTGGACAACGACTTTGTCCTAGTATACGACTTATCAGCAGTGCTTATGTGCGATTTTCACGCCAAAGACCTTCAGCCTGCATTTCCCACTCGGGAAATCCTTGACTGTCATTGTTTGATGGAATTTTTTAGTACGCTGTTTCAATGGCTCTCACATATGGTGTTTTATCGTTGTATAAATAAGCTTGAGTTGTGTGCTTGTTGACTTGGTACTTTCTGGGTGTCTGTGGAATGCATTTCTCTACGTCTTATCAAGAATTATGCCTCTAGTTAGTGATACCAGGGATGATTGGTGTAGAATAGCCTATCGTATCACTAAATCCTTGATCTTCGTTCCGCTCATCGTATAAGGTGAGCTCGTAATAGCTCAAGCATATCATTTATACATAGAATTGAACTAGGGATAATCTCATAATTAGAGTAGTGAGATTTCAGTGGCCAATCCATAAGTTGAAATCTCAACCTACCTAATACATTGAATTATATCACTGAAATCTTGTTGAATATAATAGATTTGTTTTGTTTTTGAAAAAAAAGTAAATTCTGTTAAATCTATTATAGATAATAACATCTTATTGCATTTGATTGTCACTTTTTTTTTCTCTATGACTTTCCCAGTTATCTATTTTAATTCAAAAACGTGACGCGAATATACCGCTTTACTTGAAATTGGCTTGTGATGAATTACGTTTATATAGTACATTTAAAGAGGTTAGTATGTGAAAAGTAAAAAAAATCTGTTTAAGTTTGTTTATTTTGTATATATTTGACTTACAGTTTAACTGTGTTTATTGTGATATGTTTCAGTTAATCGGTTAGCCAGTTGGGTACCTATGTACATCAGTTCAAGTTGTCACTTGGTATACTGACTACAGTGAGATGGCAAAGTCAGTTTAAATCCTATAGTAGTAGAGGTCGTAGCAGTATTAGCAGTAACGGAGAAGACTAGAGATCAGAGAGAAGATTCGCGGAGTTGCAAAACACTGGACTAAAATTTAAAAAGATCGGTGATGAGGTATTTGGGAAGATTAAAATTTAAGAGAACACAAAGAATGAATGCATCTGTGCTATTGCAAATGATTTTAAACCAGGCCGTTCAAAGTTTATTTAGTTTAATTCAGTTTTTATTAAAAGATTGAATTAATTATTTACTATACTTGCTGATGTCATAAGCAGTTAAAGTATTCAAAAGTAGTTATTCACCTTGGGATTCCTAATTACTTACCGGCCCCTCCTAATGAAGGATAGTCTGTAGACCAGCAAATTATTTTTCTGGTTAGCATTTTTTTCAGAGAGTTGGATTTCTACAGGATAAGGTCGCTAACCCCATCATACCTAACCCTCCTCCTTTATCCGAGCTCTTGGGGCCTGGCAGTAACTCTAGAAAGCCTCTCAGTCGGAGTCGGTTATTCCCAATAAATATTATGGATAGTGACATCTCATTATGATACTTGAAATGACCTTTCAATGACCTAATATTTATACATATACATTGGTTATGTGATAATCAATTAAGTTTGTCTTCTGTCAAATTTTTTTATTTTATTAGTTAAATGCCAAATTAAGACAACTGCCTGATACAATTTCCAGTTTAGTATTAGATGTAATTAAACGTGTTGAATTGAGTTGTGGATCTGAATTAACTCGAATTACACTCGGTCTGTTGACTTGTTCACGTCGACCATTATCTACTGAAGAATTACATGATTTAATTGATGACTGGTTAATTGAATCATACATGGAACAACACTACAACGATGAAGATTATGCAAATAATAATTCTTGGTCAAAATTAAGCCTATCATTAGATAAATTGGAGAATATCATGTCGAATGAGAAGATTATTTATCAACTAATCAATAATCATCGACACAATTCATCCAATCATATTAATAATAATAATGATTCACAAAAATCGATATTATCCAATGGGCGACCACATTTACCATCACTTGCATTGTATATTCTATTAACTGGTCTTCATCCTTTACTGTCTGGTTTCAATGATGAAGTAGGCAGAGATGTTGATGAAGTTGATGAAGTTGACAATGATACTGATGGTCCAGTGCAAACAATCAAAAGACAACGTCTTACTCTTCGGAATCTTGGTTCTCGAGCAATATCTTTCAGTAGTCGTGAAATACACAATCTAGTCTATAATATTTGTTTTAATCAATCAAAATGTAGCAGTGTTGGTTTAAAAAAATACGATTATTCTTTTAAAAATAATCATAGCATGAATGATGACAAACGCACAAAATATCATGAAAATACGCATAGTAATGTAGTTCATTTAAAATCAGTCACTCTTGAAACGATACATAATATTTTGGCTGCAAAATTACAAAATACAAAAGATCTAATTTATCATTTGGTAAGTTTTTTATGAATATTCAATGTACTATTGAATAAGTGAGCGTGTGTTATTAACCTTGTTTGTTCTGTATTTAAAATAAACTTAGTCCTTTATGATGTCGGAATGGAGTTTACCGCAAATCGATGAGTGGTGCTTATTGGCCCTTGTATCTGATCCATATTTCTTGCTTACCTGTTCTAAGTTGACTATAGATTTTGTTATTGGTGAGTCGGGGATCATTAAACAATCCTAACTGTCTGTCAACATTTCAATCGATCATATAATTCCTGTTGAATGAGGAAACACAAAACAAAACACTTAAAAGATACACAGTGTGTGTGGGGTGAAAATCATAAAATAATTCATAATTTTACTTGAAATTCTAGAACCACATACCTCCCAACTGTTCTAACTTCATTGTGAAATATTCTGTCATACTATCAGTTTTCTCATTATAATCCATGATGAATGTAAGGTTAGTTTTGATGACTAACTAACCTTCAATTGCAATTATGGAGATTAGTGTTTTTACACATTTGATAAGTCCCATACCAGAACTAAACATCCATGCAGTGCTTCCAGGTTTCTAATGGTGGTCTAACAATGATTGATTGATAATTTCAACTGTGGAATGAATGACCTTCGCTTTTGTAACTTAAAAACATATAAAAACACTGGATAACAGTTAAGTAGTTCAATTTTAATGCTTCTCAAACACTATGTACTCGTCGATAGGGAATCAAGAAACTAGGCCTGGTACTAGGCTGAGTACTACTAGATTATACTCAACTAGTGAAGTGTTGTTACTGGACGATTCACATTTCCAACCTCATTCAATCAAATTTTTCAGTCAGTCTTATCAATGAACAATGATTCATTGTGAACACTTAGCTCAAGTTAATCAATATCATCAGTCCAATTGTTTGAATGTATCAACATTTAGATGTATAATTTTATTGAGTTGTTTTATTGACTAGAATGTATGCTTCTCTCTGCAAAAATTCTTTTTTTAGTATCATGCTGGTCGATTACATGAAGTGGTGTGTTTACTCAGTAGTCCAACATTTATTATTCATCAAATTGAATGTGGTTATGGTTCAATATTATTGGACGATATGAACAAATACAGTAAGTTGTTCTAGTGTTATTAATTTTTTTTTACTTATTACTACTAATCAATTGAATTGGGACTTTGATGAATTTGAAATGTGGCTTTATTATTATTGTTTCGATTTTTTGTGAAAATTTTTTGCTGCTTTGTAGTGTGTTGATTGATGGATGTGATCCAGACCGTAGCTGCTACCTTGACGTATGGTGGTCGAGCTTGCCTATCGTGATAACCCAACCGAGCTATTTTTTTTTAGCTGGAACATATGTTCCTGTAGGTTCTACTCTATGTCAGGTAGGTTGATAGGAGAACGATGAGACTAAGAGTAGGTGTTTCTCTCGTATAACCAACATCTCCTTCTCACAAAGAAGGAAGGGGTTAGGAAAGTTCGACCCTGACCTTACCTCAAGGAATTCCGTCCCCAACAGTAAGGCCTTTTAAAAAGAGTGCAGCTAACACTTTAAAATCTTCTCATAAAAAAGTCGTATGTAACCTGCCTGAAACAGTTGTTCCTTGGACTCTGTGGTCACGCACCCAGGTCTTGTAAGACCAACACTAATCTATCTTCCCTTTCAGTTTCCTCAATAAAAACACACCCTTTCATGGTGTTGGCAGTCGGGATGTTGCATCTGCCTGTGAGACTGAAGTTGCTGGGTTCGATTCTGGTGTTCTGTTCCATCGAGCAAGGATCTTGGATGCGCATTGCTGATAACTACCATACTAGATCGAATCGGCCGTATCATATTACAAGTGTGGATCTTGTTTAGTTCAGATAGTGTACTACCACTTTTCCCCTCAATGTTATTATCAAAATTAATATAAATACATTTAATCAGTTCATAGAAGTAGTATTCAATGAATAGTTTACACGCAACTACTTTCAATGGACATATATATGTGAAACCATAATTCAGCATAGTTCGTCGAACAGTGAATTATTTATCTGGTCCGCAATTTTTTTTTGTTTTTGGAGAATTGGATTTCAACGCCGATGGGATCTTCAAACCCATATCCAATCCGTCCTCCTTTATCCGAGCTTTGGAAACTGGCAGTAAACCCCTAGAAGGACCCTTGGCATAGTTTTGTTTCATAAGTACAAACTGTACATTCATTAGTTCAAATAATGTGAATTGTAAATTTGATAAATTTAGTGTAATTTTAATTCACAAAAAAAAAAATTATTTCCATTCTTCTCATTATGATGATTTATATTGATATTCTTTCGCCAGTTACAACTTGTAGACATCATCAATCTGGATTGAATGATAAAAATTCTACTCTACTAGATTTTATTGAGTCAAATAAACTTAAATCCATGCAAACGTTTCTTGCATCGAATTATGAATTTCTAATGAAGTAAGTACATTTTTCTTTGTTAGAAATGATAAAAATTTTGTTAAACTGAATCCTATGTATTTATTGAAAAGAAATCCTATTGGTTGAAGATCCTATTCATTAGTGTTGCTTGATAAGCAAGCAATCAATTTCTCAGTGTGTTCTGTATGTCAGTCAATTAGTCACAACGTTGAATTTCGTACGTACGTACGTACAACAGTTCAAGATGTCGGATGGCAACAGCATTGCTAACTCGTCGCTCCCGCTAAGTATCTCGAAACTTACTTTGGATCCACTATTTTTCATCTGATTAACTGATGAATTTCAATTGTTGACCAAATCAGACTGGATTTAAGTGCAATAGAGAACTAATCTGTTCTCTCTCTCGCTTTGTCTACTAGATTAGAATGGACTCTAAGGATCAGTAAGTATTACTTTTAAGAGTAGAGGATTTCCGTAGGTTATTAGTCTTCGATCATTGATGTCTTGGAAGCATTGCTCGTGTATCATGGGACAACCGTATAAGCAATGCTGTCGTTGAGAAACGAGTTCTAGGTAGGGAAAACCAATCAATAGATGAAGTAGTGAAACTTCATCAGTTGAGGTGGTTGGGACATGTGTTACGTATGACTAACCACCAACTGCCTCGATGAGCTATGTTTTGCAGTGTAGGAGTAGATTGGAAGAAAGCTAGGCGCGGTCAAAATAAAACATGGCACAACTTCATGAAGTCACTGACAAGTGGACTGAGTCATGTTGGTAGATGTAGGCTATCTGGTTGGGGTCCGCGAGACGTAAGTCACCAATGGTTTGAGACCTTGAACAACATGGCTCAGAATCGTTTGCAATGGCGCAGGTGCATCCACTCTTTGTGTTCTCGCAAATTCTAAGCTTCTGCATTCCTCATCATCCCTATCTTTCTCCTTCTAAATTTATCTTACTTAATTATACTTTTCGAATCATTTCGTCGCTCCCTAATCTTCTCCATTACTGCTAATACTTCTATTATTGCTATCACTGTTGGATTTGAACTGACAGTTGCGTCTCTATGCTAATGTGGTATGGCAACCTGAACTGATGTACCTACGTACGAAGTTTTGCGTTGTAACTGTCTGTCTGTAAGTATTACTGTTTTCCATTCATCGAGGTCACAGCTCCGACTGAACTAATCAATAATCGGGATAGAGAGATTGAACGATCATACAACTATTTTCCTGTTATTACACAGACATAGTAAATAAAATCCAACAAAAAAGTTTGTCTTTTCTGTTTTTCTCTTTTTTTTTATTAGACATCCATCTTCATTCATTGAATTAGCTATGAATCAACATGTTGACGATTGGATTCATAAAATTGGCTTTGCATGTTTATGGAATTTAAACAAACAACAAGACGAGAAAATCAATACTGATTTACAGAAATTATTTTTACGTATTCAATTAAATCACAATGAATTTTCATGTGTTACACCGAAACATATCATTCATCAACCAATTGCAATTCATAAACCAATCACCACTTCATTAACTAATTCACAAGATATACCAATTTCAATTGAACTTGATCGAACTGGTCATTTATTAGCTTATGGAACAGAGTCTGGTACAGTTAATCTTGTTGAAATGCAATCATTTAAGGTAAGATTGATTTATTTACTTTTTCTTTTTTGGTTTCTCCAATATGTGTGTGTGTGTTTTTCAATCCGATTGATTGTTTAAAAAACAATGAGTCCCTTTTTGTATAAATAGAGAACAATGAGAAGCCTCTCTTTTATGCTGTGGAAAGAAAAAGTGTGTAAATCTGTTTAGAGGGTGAATCAAACAGTTTGATCTTAAGATAGAGACTTGTAGCAGCAGCCTCATTGGAAACATTTCATCCTGCTAAACTGATTATAATTCAAAGTTACACATTTTTGAAACCATGAATCGATCAATGTTAGACCACCATTAGAAACCTGGAAGCACTGGATGGCCGTTTCGTTCTGGTATGGGACTCCTCAGCACAATACCGAAGGTCCTGGGTTCTAATCCTGCGGGGTGCAGGTGTCGTGGATGTGCACTTCTGACGAGTCCCGTACCAGGACAAAACGGCCGTCCAGTGCTTCCAGGTTTCTAATGGTGGTCTAACATTGATCGATTCATGGTTTGAAAAATGTGTAACTTAACAATCTTCACAACCCCGTAATATAATTCAAAGGTCTAAGTCCATGATTCCTCATAGGCTTGAACGATTATGTCATATCCCATTGCAATTATCAATTAACATATTTATGTGGACACATATCTATAGGGGGGAGTAATTCGGACATTACAATCAAAGCTTCTGGAACATGTACATAACTGGCTTCAAAATCAGTTAAAATTAGATGACCCGATTAACGTAGGAAATAGAAAACCATATTCATCGATTACAAAACATATTTGAGACGGGGCATACGATTGACATCAAAATAGCTTTTAAAACACTGTGTAGAAACCTTGAAGCATGAATTCTGAGGTTTTCGGAAGCCTTGTCTATTCATAAACTCAAACCCTTCTTACGTGTACACATAGAATATTTTCTCACTTGGAATCTAGCCATTTTGTGGCCTATAGTAATGTGACAGTTTGAAATATGTATAGTTGTTATGAATGCACGTGACCACATCAACTTGATATGCTTGAACTATTATGAGTTGACCTTAGTCAGTAAACGAGAGCAAGGATCAAGGATCCAGTGACACACCACAGGCTACTCTAATCCGAATGTCCCAAACCCCCATATTGAGTAAAAGAAGAAGACTTGATATGAAGTAGAACGTGTATTCTACAAGCGTTCAGAAAGAGAGAGAGAGAGCGAATTGACCAATAAAATTAGACTTACAAATAATTCTCTTAGGCAATTGGCTGAATATCCTAACAATAGTACAAATACATCACAACATTTCTTCAAATCAACTACATCTTCTCATAGTGTACTATCCTTAATTGGTTATCTTATTGGTAAAGGGAGCAAAAAAAATTTATTTCTAAACTTTATTATTATTATTATTATTTATTGAATTCATCACATTTACACTTTATGACACATTCACTAAAATGCATCTTTTTTACATTTGGCTTTTCTTTTCCTCTCTCATCATTTTCTTCTTTCAGATAATATGTTCATTTCTTGGACACCAAATGCCAATACTTAGTTTATGCTTTCTTGATGATATCACTTATGACAATGTTACAATTCAATCATTCCGTAATTCCAATTCACAATTATGGTTAGTTAGTACAAGTCAAGATGCTAGTATACTTGTATGGGATGTATCAAATCTGATGAGAAATGTGATACAAGGAATAACAAGTGTTGATATTGTCAGTTGTCAATTGACTACCTCTTTAACTGGATATCACAATAAATCTGTCAATGTATCAGCTTGGCATCCCAGACGTCATTTATTAGCTACTGGTAGTTTAGATAATTTAATTTGTTTATGGGAAATGAAACAATTAGGTTTTGGTTCATATTTTACATCGAAATTGTTAGCAGGTTGTAGAAAAATTAGTCCATGTAAAAAATTGACTACTACAGCACCGATTAATTCAATTGCTTTTCGTCTACCGAATTATACATCTGACAATGAAATGTCTATTATTCCTGGACAATATTTACGTGATGTTGTAACAGTTGGCTGTTGGGATGGTTTTGTACATGTTTATAGTCTTGTATCTATGAAGAAGATAAAAGTGAGTATTATTATTATCATGATTGTAATTCATTTTTTCTAATAGTTTGTTTTATAATTCACTGATTGTCAATTATCATTCAATTGATGATTCTGGTTTTTCACTCTCTCTCTCTCTCTCTCTCCCCCTCAACGTCTAGTCACTTGCAATTTCATCCTTTGCTATATGTTCATTGGCTTATTCACCGAATGGTGGTAGACTATTAGCTATTCTTGATAGAACTGGTCAAAGTTCCATATTGAATGCAGATACATTTGAATATTTAGGTCGTTTAACTGACAAAGTGAATATTTCATCGATTGAACAATTTACTAGTATTGATGAATTATATCATTTATTACCGAATCAAAAAGGTGTATTGTGTTTTTCTCAACCAACTGGACGTTATCTTATTCAAACAGGCGGTGGATCATCTATGGGTACAATTAATATTTGGAATTCTCATCTTGGTGCACCTGAAGGTACATTATTTCATAGATTATTATTATTATTAGTAGTAGTAGTAGTTGACAGTAGTATTTTGTCTTTCGCTTATATTTGTAACAATATTTTCATGTGTGTCCAAAATAACAGTGAAATTGGCGGTGATTTTTAAATGAACCAATAGGAACAAATTTTTGCAGAATCACATAAATTCACCATATAATTCCAAACTTCTCTTCAGCTCTGCTGAAAATGAAGTCATATGAAGAAAGAGTTGAAGTTTTTTTTTTAGGAATAATGCAGAACTATTGAATTAAAATTAAAAGATTGATTTAGTTTTGATTATTCTGAGAGATAGATGGTTTTATATCGATTTGTTCAGTCTGCTATTAGAACGGCTAACACATATAATTGAACCCTTTATAACTAAATCTAGTAGAACCGACCACCCAAACAAATACGTTAAAGAAAAACAGGAGAAATATGTTGTCATAACTCTTTAGTTTCTCTCTCTATATTGGACACTCGGTCAGTACTCACTATTTTTACCAGTCTTCAATAAAATTCAGACCCAGGAACACTTGATTAGCCTGACAGACGATAATTTACAATTATAAATAGGTTATGGAATTATGTGTATCACCTTAAATATCTGTCAGACGATAATTAAATAACCAGTTACAATTTTCGTTCACTCACACAATATTTTTTTTAATTCAGTAAGTGTCAAAATGTACACAGAAAACATTTGTATTTTTTAATTTTATTGTAAAAAGTGAAAATATCATTAAAATCATCCAATCCTCAGTTAATGGTGTCACATCCATCATCCAGTCAGTCAGTCACCTTATGGTAGGCATATCCTAGAAATTCTGCTAAGCTGTGTGTGATTGATTAGAAACTGCCTGTCTTTATAAGTTGTTTCTGAGAGTCAACGCAACGCAGTTGATACTTGATCGTTCTAAATCCAATCCAATTACTTTTTTTTCATCTATTAAACCAGAATTTTTAATCTCCATTATTCTTAGGTCCATGGATTAATATTAGTCGAAATAAGGAAAAACTGAAACAAGCTGTATTTGTCACAACTTATAGTATTGATACAAATGGAAAATATATAGTAAATGGATGGAACGATGGTCTTTTCACGATTGCTCTAATCAATAATGGTGATACTGTATACATTTCAGAAAAATCGATTCTTAGCAGAAATGATACTTCATCAGTTGAAGCTATTGCTTGTGCTGATTCACCCTTTGATAATGATGCTAATCTTATTGTTATTGGTCGGTCATCTGGTGCAGTTGAAGTAAGCTATTGTTTTGTTTTAATTATCGTTCTATCCACATTAAAAACTTTCAAAGGTCTATTTCGATCATGTCACATGTGTGCATACTGTTGAAGAGTTTAAAAATATCTTTTTTGAAACTTTTTAGTAGAGAAGCACAAATATTCTGGGAAATAATTTTTATCCAATCAACATTGAATAACAGCTTCTAAGAAACATATAGAAAATAAAGAGTCACGTATCACAATTTTGGTTAGAGAATCGCATATACCATTGTTATATTTAGCATATTTTCAGAAAGTTCTAGAAGCCCAAGGTTTCGTACAACTCTATATAAATACTTTCACTTTTCTGTACATAAACTAACTTTATGTTAAAACTCTTACTCACATTTCATATCTTATCTTTATTGTTTGAGCTGACGAGTAGAATCAAAGTTGTACAGGTTTATAGGAAGTATCGGGGAAGCTGATACTAGGAGCTCTTTATAGCAAGCCGACTTGTTGCATGTGTATAAGGGAAAAGGTTTTTTGTGTTTAAAACATAAACATATTAGTCAAGTATTGTTCGACGTATTGATGTCTATTTGATAACCTAATTTCTAATGTGTATAGTTGATACTTATATTTCTTTCGTTTAACCAGTTTGAACAAAGTCTTCTTACTCAATACGAGTGCTTATGAAATTTATTTAGATATGAAAATATAGAATTTCCTTTATAGTATAATAATATATATGTTTATTTGTGTGATATACATAAATAGTTGGTACAATAGGGCATTCATAAATCAACCACATAAATGAATCAATGATTCTGTGTAGAGGAGATAAAGAAGGTGAGAGTCGTACGACGTAGTCCATAATCCAGTGAAACAACTTTGCGAGTTGCAGTCCCATGGTAGCTGGTCACCAACAAAACAGGTTGACAAGCCATTCATTCCTTCATCAGGTTGCGGGAGCCCATGTGCACAATTGGTTAAAAATTAGAGTTTTACAACTTCTCCGTTTCTGCCAATTCGGTTAAAGCTCCGGACATTCACTTTTCGTCTTCTCAATCTTGTAACCAATATCCCTAACATGAGAAGACAATGCGTAGCGGTTCCCTGTTTGTCAATGACTTTGGATGCTTAATTAACTAATGTAATTTACTTTCCGGAAAGAATGAAGTTTGATTTATTCTTTACACTGTTGATCGATAGCCATTATCAAAATAGTGACTTATCTCAAATTGTTCTCTTCAATATTAACACTAGCTGATTAATATCAACATAGATTCCGTAAAACGTTGAGTATATGCCATATAAACTGAGCGCTGATTACCATATATGCATTGATATATATATATATATATATATATATATATATATATATATATATATATATATATATATTAACAATGCGACAATCCAAACAGTTTCAAGTCGAATCAGTCGCAAATTATACTCAGTCATAATGAACACAGGACCTTGGAGATATATGTACAAGCTCCTAGATTTCTTCGAACTTACTCTCACATCAGCAGCTAGCATTACTCATCGAGTAGGCAGTGGTTAGACATATTCAAAACATTTTCCAATAATCTCTATCGATATAGATAATACTGAATAGCTTCTTGTGAAATTTCGTTTATTTATACACGAACATAATATTTAGTTAAATATAGGTTTCATTGGAATAAGGAATCGATTATTGTTAGATCGCCATAAGAAACCTGGAAACACTAGATGGCTGTTCTAACCACGATCACTTCATAACTTCAATGGAACTCAATAATCACCATAACTCCATAATGAAAAATCACAAAACATACTCACTAGTGACTAGCTTCTTGAAGGGAAGGTTCTCACAGTTCTAGTGAGAAGCCGTGACCATTGAAGTTCAACCCTGTTGGGTATAGGTAATTACCTGCCTACCGAAGAAAATAGATGAAGTTGCACAAAACCTTGGATTGATTCAATTTAGACATTGACATCGGTGAATACCGGTTTAGTGGTTTAGAAGTTAAGCGTTCACGCAGGAAGATGAAGGTGTTGTGTCATGTTCTCGCGAGAGGGGGTCGTGGATGAAGAGTCCCGTACTAGGACAAAACGATCGTCCAGTGCTTCTAGGTTACTAATAGTGGTCTAACAGTGATCAATTCACTGTTTCAATCAAACTCAATAATCCCCATAACTGTATACTGAAAGAATATAGATTTGTTCTATACATCAGGTGGTACGAGAACCTCATATTTAGTCAATGAATTTCCATTGATTTTTCTAAGAATTCCTATCCAGTTCCGTGGTATCAAAATCGTTATTATTCCTCTTTTTATTCTATGCTTCATTTAGTGTTATCATGTATATGCTTTTCTTTTCTAGGTATATGATTGTAGTTTCAAGCCTGAAGTCAAAGGAGAACAAGATAATAATCTTACTGTTAATAATCTATCCATTAGACATGTAATCACTCGTCATCCACATTCAATTGCATATGCAAAGAATGTGACAGGTGAAGCCGGTGGTACTCTATGCGTAGCTGCTTCTAAGTCGATTGTAATGAGTGGAGGTGGGAATTGTCAGGCATGGGTTTGTTTTATCGGTTCCAGTCCAAAATCAAATTATCTTCAACAACATAGTGGACCAATAACTGCTGTAGCAGTACAAATGAATTTTATGGCTACAGGCTCTAAAGATAAAGTAAGTGATGAAAATTTTGTTGTTGAATGTGAGCCAAAGATATGGTTTTTTTTTATATCATGAATCGATCAATGTTAGACCACCATTAAGAAACCTTGAAGCACTGGATGGCCGTTTTGTCCTGAAATGGGACTCATCAGTGGTGCGCATCCACGACATCTACACCTCGCAGGATTCAAACTCCACTACCTTCGGTCTTGCGCAGGAATGCCTAACTTTTGGACTACTGAGCTGGTATCTAATGGTGTTAATATCTAACCTCCAGGTTTCTAATGATGGTCTACTATTGATCGATTCATGCATGATTTCAAAAAAGTGACTCGGAAATCTCCTCAACGCAATAATGCTAAAGGATATGTATCTGTGGATTTCTAGCTCATCTGTCTTTCGCTGATCAGTATGTTTACAGTGTCTTGCACTTTGTCGATTTAGTAAGTGTGTATAACAAATAAAATTTCCACTGTAGATTTCATTTCGAGTTGTAACTTCATTTTATTTACTTCGTTATTAAGTTAAGATGTATTACAATTTATCTTTCTTACGAGCTGAAAGTTGTGTGATTTTGTGATACAATGCCAATCTTCAAATTGAATAATTCTCTACAAATTAATTACTTACGTACTAATCATGTATCCCCTTTAGTAAACTGGCTTGAAAATGATCTGAAAATGTTTTAGTTGAACAATGAATGACTTTCGGTCAGTCGGGAAACAGTTATAACGGGTTATTGAAATCGTGATTCGATCATTGTTAGACCACCGTTAGAAACCTGAAAGCACTGGATGGTCATTTTTTCCTAGTATGGGACTTCTCAGCTGTGCACTTCTGCAGTGCCCGCTCATGGGTCTCAGACCCAAGACCTTCGGTGTCGTGAGCGAATGCTCAACTTCCAGATTACTGAGCCTGTATCCATCGTCTTCGATTGGTAAGTGGCTACACCTAACAGGGTCACCAGGACTCTGAGGATTCTCTCACGAAGCTAGTCACTGGTGAATACACCTTATGGTTTTCATCATGCAGTTATTGAGATTGTTGAATTTCACTAAAATCATGAATTAGTCATTGTTAGACCACTATTAAAAACCTGGAAGCACTGGATGTACGTTTCGTTTAACAGTAATCGATTCATGATTTCAACGAAACGCAACAATCTTGACAACTCTATCATAAAAATCATAACCAGTTATATTATCAATGACTGTTTAGTATAGCACAAACCGGTCGAACATAGAAATAGTGATTACTTGATTCCTGTTTCAAAAATCGTAAAATATTGTATTTCTTAAAAGTTCAGTTTTAAATTCTATGTAGTGTCATTGATTCATGTACACTTTTGGGAAAAAAAACAATTGTTTATTAATCTAGGTAGTTTTGTTTTTGTGAAATGATTGATATGATTATCGAACTGAACAAATTCTAGAAGAAGCCTCTGTTTTGATCTTTAAGTTCATTGCTTTATAGTTTATGCAACAGTTGTTAGTTTGATTCGATTGTGTCCAATGCGGTCTCATGATCTGTCACGAGTATGAGGGTAGATGTCACTTTCCGGCTGCTCGCACTGTGGAAGGATGTTTCTTGAGGAACCTAAGAAGGAACGAATATTAGCGTTGGTCTTGGAGACCTGGATGCGTGACCGCAGAGTCCAAGAGACATATGTTTGAGGCCGGTCACGCATGGCCTTCTTATGGGTAGTATTTAAAGGGTTAGCTCCGCTCTTGTTTAAAAGGCCTTGCCGACGGAGACGGAAATCTTTGAGGTAAGGTAAGGTGTGACATTTTTACGGTCGAACTTTTCTAACCCCTTCATTCCTTGTTGGAATGTAACATCGCTGCAGATGCTGGTCGTCCGAAGGAAACACCTTACTGCTGTCACGCCTCTCTACAGTAAGCAGTACGACTTCGCCCTCTGAACTTAATTAGCTGCTTTTAGTCTCATCATTCTCCAATCGACCTGCTTGGAATGATAGAACCTACATGAATATATGTTCCAGCCAATATAGCTCGCTTGCGTCATCACAATAGGCAAGGCTGACTACCACGACAAGGTAGCAGCTACGATCGGGATTCAAATGAATTGGTTTATACATAATTTAGAATGTTAAATTCAAATTCATCGTAAAACTAGGTTTTTCATTTCTATGTATTTTTTTCTGCATACTAGAATATAGCTATCTATAGTTATAATTCAAATACTACAACTGTAACACTTCAATATATGATACATAATGCTGCTAATGATTGGATTACATCATTGAAATGGTCGTATACTTTATGCAATAAGCTAAATAACAAAAATACTTTATTACTTGTTGGCAGTCATGATCAATTAATACGTCTGTATAGAATTAAATCAAACAAATATACATTGAAACAACGGCTTGTTTCACATCAATCTGAACAGATTAAATCACTTGATTTCAATGTAAGTTTATTTGAATTTTTTTTTTTTTTAGAAAAATGCTAATCGTTTCTGTTCTTGTTCTCTGAACTGTGTGTGTGTGTGTGTTGGGGTGTATTGTGAATGGAAGTACAAAGTACTGTTAATCATTGATCAGCCAGCTCTCTACACCACAGATGTCGTGATTATTGACTCATAAATTGCCTTGATAGGTTTAACCTGTTCATGTATATTAAAAAAAGGAGCCTAATGAAGATCTAATGCAGAATAACAATATTGTTCGCTGATATGTGTAGTATTGTTCCAATTTTCTATTGGGGACGTTAAATCCCCAGAGCTCATCATTTGGAAAAAAGTCCTAATTTTGGATTTTTTTTATTCATGTTTTCGCGCATAAGTCGCTTAGTTGACCTTGAGATTACATTTCCTACTTGGAAAATCGTTGACTGTCATTGGTTGGTGTATTATTTTAGTACGTTATTTTGTGGCTCTCCTAAGGACTTTGCTATCATTTTATAAATAAGCTTAAGAACCTCGCATTTTCTGTGCCTTATCGAAGACTTCTTGATCTAGTTAGCCGGGATAACGGATTAGAATAGCCTTTCATTTTACTGTATCATTTGTCTTCTCTCCGTTTATCGAGTAAGGAGAACTCGTTATACTTTCAAGCATTTAAGTTGACGAGCATATCATTTTCACAATAGGAATATGTTACGCCTGCACGTAAACACGTCAACTTGATAAACTTGAACTATTACGAGTTTACCTAGTCGGAAAACAAGAGCGAGGATCGAGGATCCGGTGACACGACATGCTACTCAAATCCGACTATTTCAACCACCATATTGAGTAAAAATAAGAAGACTTGAATCTGAAGTAGAACCTGTATTCTACAAGCATCCAGAAAGTACGAGGTCCGAATCCAGGAGAGAATCAGGATCCCGGACTAGGGATCCGGGACCGGATCCTGGTCGTAAAACGTTACAGATAATGCATATTTATACATTTTGGTCGAATGTGAAACAGCATCGAAGTCTGTGACATTGACAGTTAAGACAACCAATGGGAAGTAACATCTGAAGTGACATTGATAGTCAGGACAACCAATAAGAAACAACATTGGAGCACGTGACATTGTTATATAGGACGACCATAAAATTGACCAGTCAGAATTAACCAATAGGAATTGGCCAGTAATTCTCTTAGGTTAGTGGAGGAATATCCTAACAGAATCTTTAATATTTTAAAACGTAATGATGTTAATTATTTGATATTTTAACTTGTACACATTATATATGGTTAGTAATTTTAGCTAGTACCAAGTTCACCTCATTGCTCAAGTCAGTGACTACTGTAAACTCAGTTGGTAAATTAATAACGCAATGGCATTTGAAGCAAACGGTAGTAGGTTTGAGCACTAGAGTAAATATCAACTCTAGGGTGCTAGTACATCCGGCTGACGAATCTTCAATAGGACGAAACGTTCGTCCTGGAATGCACTGCCTACCATCATCCAACTCTACTTAAAAATCGTACCAAGTTCAGCGGATCAATGTCCAATTTTTTTATATTTTACATTAAATGATTTCATCTTTTTTTAACTGTTACACATGAAAATCTTCGTTTCAAAGTAAATCAATCAATCAATCAATGTGTTAATTTTTGTTTTCTTTCGAATATGTAGTATCCTTACATTTTTTCGGCTACATCTAATGGTCATGTAAATGTATGGCGATATAATAGAAAAAATAAAAAATTTGAATTGATCAGTGAAATGGTAATATCATCATCATCATCATCATCATCATCATCATCATCATCATCACCTTTAGACAACTTCAATTCCAATAGAATCAATGAGAATGTAGTGAATCTAATCAAAGTTCAATCATTTGAATGTACTCCTTGTTATAATTCATGTAAGTTTTAGTGACTTAATCTTTATGGTAAAATGTCTCCAGAAGTCAACATTAGATGGAATAAACATATTAGGAAGAGATCCAGTTTAGTTAGAAAATATGTACACATGAAGCCATAAGTGACGCAAGTTGGCAAAAGCTAGTCGAGACTTCTGCATCGACCCTGAGATTGTGTCAGCTATTAGGCCATCAGTACTGACGAAACTCTCAAGATAATTACAGCAGTCGACACACTTAACTACTTACTTCATCACCCAATCACTAGTTCAGGTGCCAATGCAAGTCCACCCTAAAGCAAAAGTTTGCTTTCCGAGAATTGAGAATCGCATCCCGGACATGCTCGCATTGTTATTTAGGGTAGTCGGAAGACTGCATTTTTTCAGCGTCCTCACCAAGTAGAACTATGTCGTCGGCATATTCTAAGTCAACCAATGAATCGCGCGTTAGACAGTCAACTGAATTCAGATGATAAAAGTGTCGTCTACAAAAGCATTTCTACGATAAAATTATATTAGAATACAGAAAGTGGATAACCCTGACGAACACCATCTAAAATATTCATTTTGGACGACATCTCTCCATAATCTTTAACTAAACCACTAGTGTTCGAGTAGAGTGTCTTCACAGTATACCTTTTAAGGATAGACACTGCTACAGAACCTCATGATCAACAGAGTCGAACCCAGTCTTGAGGTCGAGAAATAAAACTAACTATTGTTGGATGCTGAAATGTATATCTATGTTATAGAACCTGACAAAATGTAAATATTCGGTCTATAAATCCACGTCTAGGTCTGAAACCAGCTTGATTTTCTTGATTTTGCTCTTCACCAGCTCTAATCAGGCATCGAAGTATCATTGAAGTTAATATTTCAAATACTTAATTAGTTAAACTTATTCCTCTGTGATTGTCACAAATGAACTTTTGTTCTTTCTTATGGTGGATTGGGTCAGTCAATGATTGAGACCAGTCAGATGGGATTACTCCTAGTTCTCCAATTCTATCTAAGATCTCAATCAATGTAACTGCTAAAGCTGGACCATCATTGTTAAAAATTCCAAAGGTGAATCCACCAGTTTTTTACCGCTATTCTACGCTTTAGATATGATAAATTTGTATACCTTTGAACTATTATGTAATCTGAAATGATACACAATTTTTCAACATCAAATCAAGTAGCTATTTTAGTATTTCTCTATTTTCAAGAATACTTTAATGAGTTTAATTTTTTTTTTCTTTGCATACATTATTTTCTTATTTAAACTATTTTTTTTACTTTAATGAACAATAAAACCTATTGTCTCATCTTTCACAAATCTGAAATTGCATCAAACTGAAGTGAATAAGAATTCGATTGCTGATGAAGACAAGGTGAGCGAGACATTAGCACGCCACACTTCAAATGATGTTGACGATGATGATGAGGATGATGATGATGATGATGATGATGATGCAGACGAATATTCCGATGAAACAATCAATCAATACTCAGAGAAAAAAAACACAATGACTGTGAACAATCATGCCGATGATGATGTTGATGATGATGATGCTGCTGCTCATCCTTTCAATGAAGATGCACAAACAGAATTACAAATATTCAACAATGGTGTTCATCGTTCCTTCACGAAACAATTACACAATAGAACTAATATAAAACTATTGATTGGTCAAACGATTACATTATGTTCCGGTGCAAGTAACATTGAAGAATTTCAATTTCGAATTTATGAACCATTACTAACAAGTTATCATGCTACTTTCAGTGGTCATGCTGGTTTAATTCCATGTGGATTAAGTTGCGCAAAATCTATCGACTACAATAATGACGATATATTACTTGTTAGTGTAGCTGGTAAAAATTGCAATTCTGCAACAATTGGTTGTGATATACGTGTATGGAATGTGCCTTTATCAAATGATTCATTATTATTATGTAAGCAATTGTATATTGTTTTGACTGTTTAGTATTTTGGGGCAGAGTTTTGGAGGTTTGCGTTTTTACACATTTGAAATCATCAATCAATCAATCATTGTTACTAGACCACCATTAGAAACCTGGAAGCACTGGGCGGCCGATTAGTCCTGGTATGGGACTCATCAGTGGCAGTGCGCATCCACGTCCCCTGCTCCTCGCAGGACTCGAACCCGGGACCTTCGGCATTGTAGGCGAACGCCTTACCATCGGACCACTGGGCCGGCATTTAACGGTGTTAATGTCTAACTCTGATCATTGATCTAGGGATTTTGCGCGACCTCACCCATTTGTCTTTGGTAGTTACTGCCTACACCCGACAGGGTTGAACTCCACTAGTCACGTCTTCTCAACTAGAACTCCGAGAATTTCCTCACGAAGCTAGTCACTAGTGAGCACTGTTACGATATTTTGGGGCAGAATTTTGGAGGTTTCTAATGGTGGTCCAACAATGATTGATTGATGATTTCAAATGTTTAATATGTTTTATACACTATGATGGTGATTTTTTGGCATCTTGTGATTTCTTCTTATTCTTTTACATAGTTGTATCCATTGTTATGTCCTTCTCATTGCTCTATCGAAATTCACTTCTTCCCCAAAATGACTTGCCTTATCCCCTTACCCAGTGCAGCGCGCTTCCTAACACTAACATTGTTTACTCGATAATCTAAGAAAACAGGAACAATACTCCGAAGACACCGATGATCGGATACTAGTAACTTATGAATATCCTTTATCCTTAGTGGCCATGTTTCACACATGTAAAGTAGGACGGAGTGGACTGTGACACAGTGAACTTGGTATTTGGTTAGCAGACGGATATCTCGCCTACAGCATAAGTGATGGAGAATGTCTTTAAGAAAAAAAATATTCAAATTCTGTCCAATTTTATTCACTCTTCTTACATCTATCTCCATTTCTCGGTGTAATATGCTCCTCGGCCTTCTTCTCTTCATTTGATCTTGAGTGTTCTAACTGAGGGCTTGTCTTGTGATGCAGTTTGATGCTTTTCACAGTGTGTCTCGTATTCACTTCCTGCGCCTCTTCCTGATTTCCTCCTTCATTGGAATCTGGTTTGTTCTCTCGCACAGTAGTAGGTGGTTGTTGCTGATGGTATCTGGCAAACGAATCCGAAGTATTTTTTTTGGTGTAGACAACTGTTAATGAATACTCGTATCTTCTGGATGATGGATTTCGTAACCTATTCAAGTTTCCCACCCCCACCCACCCATATAGTACAACTGTCTTGACATTTGTATTGAAAACTCTGACTTTGATGTTTGTTGACAGTTGTTTCAAATTCTAGATGTTGTTGTTCAGTTGTACAACTCAGACAATAATCAATAATTATACCATTGTGTACATCATCTGCTTAACACTATTTAAGTAGTATTGTTACAGTTGACTTGTGTTAGTATTCTTCTTCTTCTTCTTCTTCTTCTTATTATTATTATTACTTTTTTTCTCCTACCTATTTGTTTTCAGCTAAACCAACTCTTCAACATACTGGACTAGTTCAATGTGCAGATTATTTAAACATAACAAGTAATTTACAAATTTGTATTACTGGTTCCACAGATGGAGATTGTATTGTATGGTGTATTTCTAATAATTCTTCGTCAACTTATCAAACATCCACCTGTCAATCCAATCAATTGATTATTAATTCTACATATCAACCATTAATACGTTTAGTGAATTCTTATACAAAACCTAAATACAGTATCAATAGTATTGTTACACAAACATTACAAAAGAACAAGAAGAATATTCATGACACTGATAGTTCAATAGATTATTTTATATTTATTGCATATGGTTATGAGATAGTGACACTGCATATTCATTGTAATCATGAGATTGTAATGAATGAAACGAATATTAATTTAGAAAATATGTTGATAGGATTATTTACAAATAAAACTGAACTGAATCTTACATTTGATAAATTACAAAAATTATGGTCAAACAGAACAATTGATGGTTATGCTGAAATTTTAAAGTAAATAATATTATATAATAATTGTTTTGTTTTTTTAAATTTCTTAATTTTCTTAAAATGTGCTGCTCACTAATGTGACTACTAGCATTGTGAGCTGATTCTCATGGAGTTCTTCTAAGTGAGAAGATGTGACTGGTGGAGCTCAAGTTTGTCGGTTGTAAGCAGTAACTACGAAAGATGAAAATGGGTGCGGTCACTTGAAATCCCTAGATTGATCAGAGTTAATAAACATTACCACTGTTGGATTCCTGCCCAGTAATGATCCAGATGTTAGGCGTTCCAGCGTAATCCTATAGGTTTTAGGTTCGAATCCTGTGAAGTGTAGGATTCGTGGATGCGCACTGCCACTGATGAGTCCCAAAGTAGCACAAACCGACTGTCTAGTGCTTCCAGGTTTCTAATACTGGTCTAACAATGATTGATTGATGATTTCAAATGTGTCAAAACACTAATCTCTATAACTCTAACTGAAAAAAAATGATAACAGAAATATGTTGGACTTAATAGCTTGCTGTGGAGAAATAATCGATTGAATATTTGAGGTGAAAGGTAATTGGCTCGAATCCTCCATGAGAACGCTCTAGTGCATTCAGATGATTAGTCACGAGTAGAACAAAACACGCGTTGTACATCCCACTGCCACTCCCATTCCATCTTTCCTAAATGTGTTGCATTGTTTTGTAAGTCGATTCTTGAGAGGACTTTCTTCATAGCCATTATTTACTCACTCCAATGTTTTGATAATTCAAACAGATTACGACTGTTTATCATTGATATTACTTATAAATAAATATTTGGTCAACTAGACAGTGAGAAATATCATTATGGTCTGTAAAATCTAATCATATCTCTATTACTTTCATTTACTTTTTAAATTTCGACTTCTTATTAAGGTGTAAGTCACTTGATTGATTGATGTTAATGGTATTACAGAGTGCTTTGTTACTCAACGTATAGTACTTATCACATTACTGTCACATATTCCATACCATTTTTGCTTCATTATTATTATTATTATTCATTCTTGTTTTATTGATTAGGTCGTTTGCAAGAGTTTAGTTGAAGGATAAACTGAAAAAAAAAATTTTTTCTAGGAATTCAGTTTACTTAATTATGACTTGTTTATTATTTCAGTACAACCTTTTCTAAGAATTAAATTGATCATCATCATTTTTGTATAAGGAATACTAGATTCTCACAAATATTGCTTAATAATCCTTTTAATTTTTTTAGTTGATTTTTGAGAAATATGAATTTGTTATTTCAGCGCTTTTAGGATATTCATCCAATATCCTAAGATAATTGTTTGTAAGTGTATTTCTATTGGTCAATTCCTACTGGTCAATATTATGGTCGTCCTAACTGTCAATGTCACAGATTTCGATGTTGTTTCCTCATTCGACCTAGTTGTATAAATAATCATTATCTGTAACGTTTTATGACACGGACCTGGAACCGGACCCGGACGTGAATCCTTAGTCCGAGATCTTGATTCTCTTCTGAACTCGGACCTCGTACTTTCTGGATGCTTGTAGAATACACGTTCTTCTTCATATCAAGTCTTCTTCTGGTACTCAATGGTAGGGTTTGGGACGCTTAGATTAGAGTAGCCTGATCATCGATCCTTGCTCACGTTTTCCGACTAAGGTAAACTGGTAATAATAGTTCCAGCATATCAAATGACGTGTTTACATGCTAACATAACAAGCGCCAAATGCACTCTCTTCATTTTATGTTTTTCACTTGGAAGAACCTTAAACTTGATTGTTTAGTTTTCTGTTTTTCTGTGCTATTTTGTAACTCTTCCAACAACGCTTTTCGCAATGCATAAATTACTTTTCAATTGAATGCTTGTTAATTTGGGTCTACTTGTGGATTGTATAATCTTCCTGCTGACCTTGGACTTCTCACTCTAGTTAATTGATCTGGGCCGCAGAGAATAGATAAGTTGTCTTGTTGTTGTATCACTAGTTTACGTTCTGTTCTCCAATATCAAGTCGTACTTCAAGTAGCTCAAGCATGGCAATTTCATACCTTGTAAACGGTAACATATAACTATCCTTTAGTTAAAGACATTGGATTGCATTTTGTTTAATTCAATATTGAACCCATTGAATGACGTAGCTTTTCAGCAGAAAAATTTTCAATTTAATCACTACTTCTCCTAACCTTCCATTTATATACATATATGTATGTCGATAACAGAACAGTGATTTAATGAGTGAATCACTTGTTCTCCAATCGTTCCATCCGAATTTCAAATAACATGCTGCCAACTTGGCTACCGCAGTACTAGCCCCTTTATATAATCAATATGTGTCTTAGCTGTTTACAAACACACTGACTTGGTAAGCAAGTTGCATTTCTGATATGCTCGTCAATCGATAAGCTTGAAACTAATACAGATTCTCCTTACTCAGTAAACGGAGTGCACATCAATGATTCACTGATACGATAGGCTATTCTAATCCGATCGTCACAGGCCCCAATAACTAGAGGAAGAAGTTTTGATAAGGTGTAGAAAGTGTATTTTACAAGCACCCAAATCAAGCTTATTCATAACATGATAGAAACCCCCAGTAATGAGAGCCACAAAATAACGTACCGAAATACTCCATCAACCAATGACAGGCAAGGATTTTCCGTAAGGGAATTGTAGATTGTAGGTCAACTAAAGAGCCTTATGCATGAAAACGTAAAAAAATTCAAAATTTCACCTATAAATTACAAAATTAAAACCTACCAAGTGAGCTCTGGGAGATCTAACATCCCCAACACAATTTCTTATCAAGAAATATGTTTGTCTGTATTATTATTTCACACTATAAAATATTTCCACTAACCTTTTTATTTTTAATTTTAACATGACATTGATTGTGTTATCATAATGTGTTGTTGCTTTTCTTGATTAAGAATGAAAACAGAACACATTGTTGTCGACATGTCTGTTTTGCATCATGAACCAGTTAATGTGAATCAATGTGGTGTTGTAGCACTTTTATCTAATGGTGAAGTGGTTATTATTCCATTCAAATGTAAAAATGATGCAATCACACGTCTTCGTGTTCGAGATAAGTAAGTGAATTTCATTTTGATCTTTATTTTCTTTTGTACTTTAGATTGAGCGTTATGATTATGATGAGTGTTACATTTTCCACGTGCTTGATTTAGGTGTTGAGAAAATGTTTCCATTAGTGGTTGATCTTTTGGCCTGAATACATTTTCATTACCTGGTTTGTAACTTTATTTATAAGTGGAATCTATCTAAGGTGTTGTTAAGTCTTTAGGTTGTGCAAATGCACTCACTCACTCACTCTCTCTATCCTTCTGTCGATCATAAGGTGCAATATTTCTGCGGACATGCCTTTTCATTTTATTCTCTTGAACAACCACATTCCTAATGTTTATTTAGTCTTTCTTACAATCAGCGCTACCAAAACCATTTCAATCCCTTCGTTATTCATTTTGTTTGGCTGGTATAGCATGTCGACTTGACGTGACAGATTATCGTGTATTAAGATTCCATGAGCTGAGGAATGATAATGCTTATTAAACATAAATCCTTACTGATGTCATGTATATTCATGTCAACCTAATACGTTTAGAACAACAGTTTATCAAAAGTTGGAATACAAGTATTCCTGAAACATTTACTTTAGACAATCGTGGAAATAGGTAAACCGACAGTGAGTATAAGTGTATGCAGCCTACTTCTTAAAATATGTGAGTTTAAATCATCTTCGACCTCAGGACCGAAGGTCCTGTCTTTGAACCCAGTGAGGTGCAGGAGTCGTGGATATGGATTGCTGATGAATCCTATCCGTGGTCGAAACAGCTATCCAGTGCTTCCAAGTTTATCATTGTGGTCTAACAATGATTCATTTATGATATCAAGGTAATAAATATACATCCTACATATAAATACAAAGTGTTGACATATCTACGTGACAAACGTGGAATAGGTTTATGAAAATATTAGTACATACACTTGACCTGATTAGAATTGACACAATTAATAGCCATAGTTTGTGATACAAAGCAAAATCAATAAGAATACAGTGTAGGTGAGCACGTTGTACCATGCTGTATTTTGAAGTCTAGTAACTGTTAAATTTATGGACAGCTTATTTTTTTAATTCAGCAATATAGTTTATCATAAGTATGTTGTAACGCTTGCTTAGATTCCTATTGCTTAGTATTCTCTGACCACAATACACTGGACAAGTTCCAAAGAATCATAAACACGGTGAAACAGTAAAAGATTAAATTCCAAACAGCAAGGTTAAATGGAAATAAGAAGCCGAAGGCGAAGGCAAAATAGATACAACATTAGTTTCTTTATAGTTTTTACATGATAAGCTTATGTCTTGTAACTCACGTGATCGACTGGATTAGATTTAGTCAATCAGCGCGCAGCTAACGCAGTCATGCTTTATTCCATCTATGTCCCACTACTAATAAAGTAGATAACTGAGAAATCTAGGATGTATCACTTACTTGTGTGAATGATACAAATTTACTCATAGTCGTTTCACTCGAATGCGAGACTCTTCAACAGTGAGCATGTACAATCCCTGCTAGTGGGAATCAAACCCAGGATTTTCAGTCTCGCATGTGAACGAACACTCAACCTCCAAAGCACTGAGCCGGCATCCAACAGTAATAATGTCCAACTGTGATCAATCTAAGATTTTGCACAACTTCACCCATTGTCTTAATTAATTACTGCCTACACTCGACACAGTTGAACACCACTAGTCGCGGTTTATCATCTGAACAGTTATTTACCAACAACATAAATTCGATGTTTCTAGTCATTTGGAACTGTTGCTCTTCATAAGTGTTCTTCATGTATGTTTTAGATTTCTCAATGTTAAATGCTCGTAGTAAGTATGATTTCTAACTTACATGAGCTTGAGAAATACTGTGATGATTATCCTGTTCATATGTTAGTTTTGTAATCTATATGCACTGAAATAATCACAAAATCTGACTAAAATCTCAAAACTCCATATAAAAGACGATTAGCCTAGTGTAAAGTATTCATCAAAAGGTTTAATGATTATGAATTCATCGGACGGCTGCTATGTATCAATCACCACATAACTGCTCCTCATTTTCATATTAAACTGTATTATCAACAACATGAGCAAAAGATTACTTTAGAATGAATGATGTAGAAACGATTTTAGCTGTTACCTAATGAAATTTTTGAAGTTTTGTCTAATGTATGTTAAATGTATGTCATCATTATGTGGCTTATTGTGTTGTTATAATGATATGATTATTTTTTTTATTTAGTTGTAATCTTTCAAGTCATTGGTGCAGTTCACTATGTACATATCCAGATGGTATACTTGTAGCACATGATGGATTAGCTTTTGATTACAAGTTTAATGATTCAGTAAGTGATGACTGATCATTTTTTGCATTACTCATTTACATATACATTTAAATTGAATTCAATGTTAATTTAAGTCATATTATATGTAATATATGATCAACCTAACTGTGTGGTGCGAGCTACTTATAAGTAGTATATGAAGTGAGTGTCAACGTAATGTCTGGCAGCAGAAGATGGGGGGAAGATCAAGAAAGGAAGAGTTAGAACACAATGGAATTTGTATGAAACGCATGAATAGTGACAATGGATTGATGTTTTGCAACAGGAACAGTCCAGTTCGATATGATGAACTGATATTTTGCAAATTAACGATTTACAATATGGTTTTCCGATTTTACTGAGTAACTCTGTAATTTTTGTTAAATACAATTCGGTTGTCCCACCTATGTTCTCCTTCACTACAACTGTATGTTAGTTATACTAATTTATTTCATAAGGAAGTAACCATCTACTACTGCCTCTACAAGGTATGTTTTGTGGTGTAGGGTAGGATAGACGAGAAGAAAGCTAGGGGGAAGCTAAACCAAAACATCTCGCTAGTTCATGAAGTCACTGACAAGTGGATTGAGCCATGTTGGTAGGTGTAGAGTACCTGGCGCAGATGGATCCACGATGCAATCGTTAACAATGATTGGAGACTTTGAATGTTATGACTCGAAATCCTTTACAAGAGCTTAAGTGCATCCATTCTTTGTGATCTATCAAATTGTAATATTCTAAGTTCCTCATGACCTTCATCTTTCTGTTTTCATATTTATTTCAATGGGGTAAACTTCTTGAATGATTTCTTCAAACCCTAATCTTTCCTATTACCTTTAATACTTCTTTTACTATTACGGGATTTAAATTGATAGATATATCTGTTTGCTAATATGCTATCGCAAGTTGAGTTGATGTACATACGTATGAAGTAATTCTTCACTACAAAACATTGATCTATTGAATCGCATTCGGGGGTCCGCTAGACGATAAGTAACCGATGGTTCGAGACCTTAAATGGAATGACTCAAAATCGTTTACAATGGTACAAGTGCATCTACTCTTTGTATTCTCACAAGTTGTAATCTTCTGAATTCTTCATCACCTCTTACTCTCTCTCTCTTTCTAAAGTAGTTATCTCGCTTAACTACACTTCTTGAATAATATCTTCGATCCCTAATGTTCCGCATTACCAACCAGTAATACTTCTACTATCTCTACTACTATAGGATTTGAACTGACAATTGCATCTCTGTGCTAATGTGGTATAGCAAGCAACCTGAACTGATTGATGTACGTACACACGTACGAAATTCTACGTTGTAACTGACTGATTGTAGACAGAAATAATTCTACATTATGTGTGTAATAATAGCAAGTAATATATATAGTCAAGGCCAATAAATGCCACACTTTTCTTCTTCCGGATACTCTTAGTAGAATTTACTTCTCTAATGTGCACTCGACTTGGAGTTCATTATCTCTAAATACTTTTTATAATTATTATTATTGTCTTGAAGATTTGAATCAGATTTTATTGATTCCCATTGTGTTCAGCATCATCATCATCAGTAGCCTTGATCGGTAGGTATATATATAGAGATATTGCATCTTTCCACGAACATCTGTCTAACAGCGTTATTTTTTTTCTGGTTAGCGTTTTTTGGCAAGTTAGATTTCGACGGAATGGGGTCGCCAACTCCATGTCCAACCCTCCTCCTCTACCCGGGCTTGGGACCGGCAGTAGCCCCTAAGGTTCTACTGGCTAACAAGTACATTGTAATTGCATGAATGCATTGAGTGATGGTGATCACCTCAACAAGAATGTTGGATTGTTTTTTTTAGCAATATTAATGACCTAATCTCTATTTAGTACTTTTTTATGTCACGATCATCATAGAAATATTTCAAGATCATCAGCCTATATGATTATAGTTTAAGTGGAACTCCAACTAAAAACACCTTAGTAGATTGAATGTGTTTTATTTTTCCTCACTATAAATAAATTGTTTATATTAAAACAATAATTATTCATTCTCTCTATATATACTACTACGTAAATAATTTTAGACTAATGTATTCTCTTCACTTCATGGATCAATCAATAATACTTTGAATAATATTCATATTGACAAAATTGAACCAGTTTGTTTACAACATGGAAACAATACTAAGTTGTAAGTTTTATGTTGCCTTTGAAAAAAACATCATTACATCACTGTTTTGAATAATTTTGACATGTTGTCCCTTATTCTGTACGTAAATATAATTGGGGAGTGATTTGTGACTAGTTTGGTCTGCTGTGCTGTTATGGTTATGATTGGCGGTTGTCATTTTCCGGCTGCCCACACTATTCTATAGTGAGGAACCTGAAAAAATCGTCGGAATTGTGTGACCTGAGAGCCCAAAAGAAAACTGTTTGAAGCTGGTCATGCAAACCCTATTTATGGGAAATTTCTAACGTATTAGCTCCGCTTTTCAAATGACCCTCCCTCTGAGGACAGAAATCTATGGGGTAAGGTGAGATATGACCCCTTTAGGATCGACCTTTTCTAACCTCTTCCTTCCTTGTGAGAATGCAGCATCGCTGCAGATGCTGTTTGTTCGAGGCAAACACCTTACTGCTGTCACACCCCTCTACAGTCAGCAGTACAACATCGCCTTTAGACCTTGAGTTGCTGCTTTAAGTTTCACCGTTCTCCAGTCGACCTACAGGAACATATGTTCCAGTCAATATAGCTCGGTTGGCTCATCAAGATAGGCAAGTCTGACCACCATATCACAGTAGTAAATACGGTCGTGAAAAAAATTACAGAATGCAAATCAAATCCTTTGAAATATACATCATGAAGTAATCGCATAATTAAGAGTATAGGGAATGTTGTTTGACAATATTGTACGGTTAATAAAAGTAAATTTGATTGGCTACTGAACAAGAACAGACAGACACTCATCATACATACGGACTAGGTCATTTGTAATTTCTTTCCTATTACTGATTTCTTTTTTTTATTTTCAACTCATTGTGTATGACTGCTTCCATTTGGGTTGACTGAAATAATGTTGTATATTCCAGTTCCCCATTATTCATCATGCATTCATTGTGTATTAACGTGGTCCAGTCAGATCTGGCGGTAACCAAATATCAATGAATGGCTTTATTATTAATGTATATTTGAATGAAGAAACAGAAACTTTTAATTTCGCCGTTATTACCATAAGATAAACGATAAACTTTATTCTATCGGTGTATAAAATCGTACGAGCAAGTAATTTTTTATTCCAGGTCATCGCCGACCTGTAAGACTCACAATTGAGGTTTCTAGTTTGTTTGTTTTTTCTCTAAAAAAAAAACAAAACTACATCATATAACAACAGCTTTTGAATAAACTTTCATAATGTAATTAGTAAAAGTCTGACTCTTTAGCAAATATCTAATGAAGCGCACTATTAATAAACATAACACATAACATCGGCAGTGACTCATGCGCCTTTGTTCTTCAATCATTCTGTGATTTACCTATCATATGAATGACCTCATTATTATGGTGTTGATTTATTTTGCTTAGTATTGTAAACAAAAATATTTTCAATTTCATAATTTTGACTCAACATCTCATATTTAATGAATTCATTTGCAAATCATTTTTTTGTTCATTTAGATGTTATATTGTTACAAGCAAATTGAAATCAGCGCCAAGAATTATTATTATTCTGTTCAATAATAGTGAAGGTGATTCGCTATTGGATATATCGGTTAGTTTGTAATGATAATTTTTTATTACAAACAGAATCATTTTATTTTCTGTTTTCTCTTATGTTCATTAATTAATACTCTTCTGTTTGTTTGTTGAATTCTTCATATATTTGAAAAAAAAAAACAGTTTCAAATGTTTGTTTATATCAGATATGAATCATTTCAGTAAAACAAAAAAAAATGTAAATATTATACCATTCTTAATGTGTCGTATCATTCATTGTATTCAATTTGTTGTTTATTTACTAAAATCTAAACAAGTTTGACCATGAATTTGAAAGATAATGATGATAGAATTCTGTTATTTTGTGTAAATTATCTGAGTAGTAAGTAGTACGAGGTGTGTGTGTGCAAAGTGTGATAGTTTTGTAATGAGAAAGAGTACAGTTCATCAAGATGACTTCTGTATTAGAAAAATAAAATTTTCTTGCTCACCAGATCATCATAAATACATTTTTACGTAATTATCATATTCTGGTGAGTGTTGACGTTATTAATAAGTATGGATATCATTAGAATATTGTTGACAGATTTGTATCATGACGATGAATGTTTACTAGCCCAAAATTGAATTCACTGACAAGTGGATTGAGTTATGTTTATGGCTGTAGGCTACTTTACCTGGTTGGGGTTCTGCGAGACGAAAGTAATCGATGGTTAGAGACCATGAATGACATGGCTCCAAATTGTTTACAATTGCGCAGGTGCATTCGTTCTTCGTATTTTCTCAAATCCTAATCTTCTGAATTCGTCAACATCTCTACATTTGTCTTTCTTAAGTTGCGTAACTGAATTATACTTCTTGAATATTATTATCTTCAAATCCTAATCTTCTTCATTATCAACAATTGTTCTGCTATCTCCACCACTATGGGATTTGAACTAACAGTATCGTCTCTGTGCTGGTGCGTTATGGCAACCTGAACTGATGTACGTATGTACGAAGTTCTAAATGTGTAATTGACTGACTGACTGAGTCCATAGTGCTGTATGATGTGTTTTTTTAGTTTCATTGTATAAATAAACATCAATTGTGTGCTTGTGAATCTCCTACTTTCTACATAACTGTACAATACATTCTCTTCGCCTTATCAAGACTTCTTGAGGTAGTTAGCAGAGCGCCTGAGGCGATCGGAGTAGAATAGCCTATCGTGTCACTGATTCATTGATCTTCGTTCCAGTTACCGACTACGGTGAATTCGTAAAAGTTTCAAACATATCACAAAGTTTATTAAAAAGTATTTTTAAATGTTTTTATTTCAAATCCAACTTATCATAACCACAATGTAACTTGTTTTTAATACTTACAGTTGGAACAAATGAATTTACAAGTCACTGCTTATTGCATCGTCTCAACACATCTTGACAACAATGAAAGTTTAATAGTATATTTGTTATTGGCAACATCGGACAGTGTTTTACGTTTGTTTAAATGTTCCATGAATATTTTGAATGAATCGACGAAATTAAACAAATGGGAACAGGTAAAAGTGTGTTTAAATCAGAGTGCTTATTTTCTTTTTTATAATTTTCTATTATTATCCAAATCAGACTGTGGTGTAGGAGTAGGTTGGAAGAAAGTTAGGGGCGGCCAGACCAAAACATGGCAGAAATCCATCAAATCACTGACAAGTGGACTGAGTCATGTTGGTAGATGTAAACTACCTGGTTGGGGTCCGCGAGACGAAAGTCACCGATGATTAGAGACCTTGAACGACATGACTCAAAATCGTTTGCAATGGCGCACGTGCATCCATCTGTTGTGCTCTCTCAAATCCTAATCTTCTGGATTGCTCAGCACCTCTACCTTTGTCTTCTAACCTTATCTCACTGGATTATACTTCTTGAATGATATCTTCGAACCCTAATCTTCTTCATTACCATTAATACCTCTACTATCTCTATCACTATGGGATTTGATTTGACATTTGCGTCTTTGTGCTAATGTGGTATGGCAACATGAACTTATGTACATACATACGAAGTTCTACATTGCAACTGACTGACCGAATCAGATATTGTTGTCATTGATATAAATATAATCGATCTCAGATCAATTCAGTTTATATGATGTTTTTGGTGCGGTGACTGTACATTTATTGTACAAACACTCCATTTCTATAAATAAAGTTATTATTTCAAAGGATTTCAACAAACCTATCTACCTGTGAGATAGTTGAAGTTTGTCAATTTGCTGAGAAATGCATTTTACTCATATACACACACTATTCCTACTTTGTTATTCCAAACAACTTTACACGTAGATCGTAGTAGCCAATTCTAAGCAAATCATGTGAAGTATGTACGCGAACACACAAGATCTGCACTCATAAGAGAGTGATTCGTTTGTACGCACTAAAAGCATATCACACAAGTCATACTGTGGTGTGTGCTACTTATATAAGTAGTGTAAGAAGGGACGTGAAATAAGTCTCGTGTTCAGAAGAGGAAAACGGAAAGCAAATGGAGCAAAAGCAAGAAGTAAATGGAGTACCAACAGGAAGTAAAGGAAGCAGCAGCAGGAATGGAAGAAGGATGGAGCGTTGGAAGTCACGACTCAAAGATGGTGTGCAAATAGAGTGTTCAATCTAACGTTTTCGTTTTTAATCGACTGAGTGTAAATGTGCATAATACAATCTTCCGCGCCTGCCTCAGTCTTCTCAATTTGTGTCGCTGCCTCTACACAGGATGAAGATCCCATGGCCTCGGGAGTTTGAAGACGGAGATATAAGGAGCTTCTTGAAGGAGTTCGAGGCCGTGGCGGAGCTGGTAGGAATCAAGGAGCAGAGGGCGAAGGCGGTGGTGTTGGGGACCCTACTCAGAGGCAGGGCGAGAGCGGTGTACGATGGTGTGGGGGACGCTGACTGGGAGGTGGTGACGGAACGGCGGCTGGTGGATTTCGACAGCCCGGCGGATAGGCAGGACGCGCTGCAGAAGTTCCGAGAGGCGAGGCTGACGGTGGATGGCGACCCACTCGTGCTGGCTGTGTAGTTGACAAGATTGCTGCGGCGGGGTCTGCTGAATTTGGATGAGGAGTCGCAAGCACAGCTGCTAGCGTCGCAATTCATTGAAAGTGTGCCTGCAGAGGTTGCCCAACAGTTGAGACTGGTGAACGCGGCACAACCAATGGACGTCGCCGAGCTGGCTAAAGTAACAAGACAACTGATGAACTCAACAGTCTCCTCGGTGGCGTGTGAAAGACAGGCTGATGATGTCGCGAAGAAGATAGAAGAATTACAACGCGAGGTGGCAGCATTACGAATAAAAGGTGGAAGAACTAATAAATGCTATATTTGCGGAGGAACCGGACATTGGCAGAGGAATTTCCCAATAAAACGAAAACATTACATTGAACACTCTATTTGCACACCATCTTTGAGTCGTGACTTCCAACGCTCCATCCTTCTTCCATTCCTGATGTTGCTTCCTTTACTTCCTGTTGGTACTCCATTTGCTTTCCGTTTTCCTCTTCTGATCGTGAGACTTCTTCTTTCACGTCCCTTCTTACACTACTTATATCGTTCGTATAAGTAGCACACACCACAATGCGACTAACACTTTCCTCCTAGTTTTACAATCTCCCTTATAAAGGAATAAGTGACGTTCATGAAGGTTGGCAGGAAGTGTCTGTTGATTTTAACTATGTTGCATATTTCAAGATAATCACCATTGATGATTGAAGTGTTTGAATGCAATAGCTCAAATCTGGTTATAAGTATTTATCGTTATTAATCTTCCAATTTATCACATCTTTCTCTAAATTTTCATATTGAACTAGTGTTTCGTACCTTTTTGTTCAGCGAATTGGGCTTTCTTTTTTTTCATCAACTACTCAAACTAATTTGTTTCATATTATTCTCTGACTCCAATGTGATTGATTCGTTAATAATATTCATAAAATATACATCGTACATACTTCGTATAGCTTGTTTTGACAAATCTTTTTGGTGATCAGTCAGTCAGTAACTACGGAGAACTTCATACTTACGTACATCATCATCTCCAGTTGCCTGTCATACCACATTAGCAAAGAGATGCAATCACCACTTGAAATCCCATAGTAGTAAAGGTAGTAAAAGTATTAGCAATAAGCAGAGGGATTACGGTTCGACGATATTATTCAAGAAGTAGAATTCAGTGAGATAACTTTAAAAAGAGAAAGAGAGAGATGATGGGGAATTTAGAAGATTGGAATTTAATAAAACACAACGAGTGGATGCACCTGTGCAATCTCAAACGGTTTTGACCCACATCATTCAGGGTCTCTAACCATCGATTACTATCATCTCGCGGATCCCAACCAGGTAATCGACACCTATCAACATGACTCAGTCCACTTATCAGTGACTTGATGGATTTCTGCCATGTTTTGGCTTGGCCGCAACTCACTTATTCCCACACCACAAAACATAGTTCGACAACGCAGTCAGTGGTTTGGTATACGTAACACATGTTCCAGCCACCTCAACTGATGAAGTTTCAATACTTCATCGATTGATCTGCCATCCCTACCCAGTACTTGTTTCCTAACTATAGCATTGCTAACTCGGTTGTCTCAGGATACACGAGCAATGCTTTGAAGACATCTATAATCTAATACTAATAACCTACGAACATTATCAAATCGTACTGGTCATGTTTCGCATCCATATAATAGTACGAAGAGAACGGATGCATAGTACACACGTCCTTTAGTTGACAGATGGATATCATACCTACGTTATAAGTGACGCAATTCGGCAAAAGCCAGTCGAGCCTTCTGTATCCGCGTTGAGATTACATCGGTCACCAGGCCATCAGCACTGATGAGACTCCTGAAATAAATGAAGTGGTCGAGGATATTAAAGCCTTGAGTAAATCTAAGCAATTTAGTAATATAGTCGAACAGTAAAAGATGAAGAGAAAAGGAGGTGAAATCGAGTGACTGAAATAGCCAATTAATTGAACGATATACCAGAACATAGTAATGCACGTACTGTCGCATACACGCGCTCTCAACTTCACAGATAAACGACAGAGTGACAGAATAGATCAGAGTTATTCACCTGTCAGAAAGTATGAATAAATCATATTGTAGTGAAGGAGAACACAGATGAGAGCAACCGAATTGCATTTAACGAAAATTACAGAGTTACTCAGTAAAATAGGAAAACCATATCGTAACCGTTAATTTGCAAATCTTCAATCAATCATCAATCCATTGTCTGACATTTCACTATTCATGCGTTTCATGCAAATTCCATAGTGTTCCCACTCTTTCTTTCTTGATCTTCCCCCATCTTCTGCTGCCAGACATTACGTTATCACTCGCATCATATACTACTTATAAGTAGCGCGCACCACAATATCAGCGTATAACAGTGTTAATGGCTATACACTATTTCCACTTTCTAATTCCATTCAAGTTAGCTACCCTTCACTATCACTAATGCGTAGTATGGAAAATTATGCTGACACATACTCGATGTCAGATTCGTAGTCAATCATGATATTATTTCTCCTTCACTTTGTCAATCATCCTGATCATTCTCGTCTTCTATTTAATGCATGCCTAATTAACATTTGAACGTGTTGGAACTACGAACACTTCTGCTCAAAATTATCAAAGTGCTAGATTATAAAGTTTGTTCGGTGTTTTCTAGAAGAAAAGAAAAAAGTTATTTTCAATAGAGCAACGAAATACAGTGATAAAATTAGTAATTTCTTTTTACCGCTTTGATTCAATTTTTTCAAACATTTAATACTCTGTTTTTATTTAATTAGATCAAAATTTATCCAACTGGTGAACAGATTGTCAAATTGATCACTATCAATCAAGATCCAATGAGAATTATGTGTTGTTTTCAAAATGGTCAAATTGATTTATATACAATAAAATAATCAATAAGTACACATGTCTTTTTTTTAATCATCTATGTAATTTGTGACATACAATGATGATTATGACTGAATTATTATTATTATTATTATTATTTTTATTATCTGATTTTTACTATTTTTTCTATCATGTATTTTAATCTATTTTTTATTGTTGTTATTTTGACTGAAAACAATAAATATACTGATAGTAAAATCAACAACTCTCTATACTTACTGTTGACTTGAAAAAATTGCATTGGATAAAGAATGAGTTGATTATTGCAGCATTTCTTCTAATGATAAGTCTTACATCGTGAAAACTGTATTTGCATGAGTGTAGCAGGTGTTGGAAACTGAGATAGATTTGATGAAATAGTTGTTTGTCAAGGTGTTGGTAAAAAATATTCATGAAAATTAGTAGGTAATCATTTGTTTCATTTTGCACTCATAGTATTCCAATTGTCTTCTGATAATAATAGTTAGAGTAGGAATTGTTTGTTTTTCTTATTTGCTAATCGTTACACTTTCACGTAAACACATCAATTTGATATGCTTGAACTATTACGAGTTTGTCTTAGTCGGAAAACGAGAGCGAAGATCTGGCGACACGACATGCTACTCTAATCCGAGTGTCTGACCCCCCATTGAGTGAAACAAGAAGAGTTGATATGAAGTAGAACGTGTATTCCACAAGCATCCAGAAAGTACGAGGTCTGAGTCCAGAAGAGAATCAGGATCCCGGACTAGGGATCTGAGTCCGGATCATAAAACGTTACAGATAATGCATATTTATACATTAAGGTCGAATATGAAACAGCATCAAAGTCTGTGATATTGACATTTAAGACGACCAATAAGAAACATTTGAAGTGACATTAACAGTCAGGACAACCAATTAGAAATAACATTGCAGTACATAACATTGATATGTAGGACGACCATAAAATTAACCAGTAGGAATGCACCGACAGGAATTGACTAATAATTCTCTTAGGATATTGGATGAATATCCTAAGTAGGTTGTTTCATATTTGCTAATACATGTCAACATAGGTCAACGCACTCACATCACACTCCTATGCACATGTGCTCGGTCAAAATCAAATAACAAATGAATGCTACTGATCGGTGAATGCAATCGGTTGATGTGTGTGTGGCTCAGCTTTTTAGAATCACATGTGTATATCAATGAGTTAGCATACATCTCGAATCTTTTGTCAACACAACTGCCTACTGATTGTTAATCTTTTCACTCACTTAGCAGACTGTTATGTTTAGCCATTCATCGTAACAGATTTGGATCTTGTTAATGCATCAAAAAAGTTTTTGAGTTGATAAAAACACTTGCATGACTTATGGTTTACTAAGCTGACGTTTGATCATTAAACTAACTCTTGTTTCATATACTTTAAGGTCAGATTAAATTGAATAATTCATATCGCATCCATATATGTTGACAAATATAGATGGTCATTCATATAGCGAAAGATCATTTCTATCACACCTGATCTATAATAGTCATGTATCACGAGAAACCGAATCGTTTAAACTAATCTATGCTACATCGTCAGTTCTTTTCCTATAGAGATCGATTTTGTCTCCTATTTATGACAGGAACCACGAGAATTCTAAATAACAACATTAAGTATCTGTAACAAGTACATTCAAACTCATTATGAATAACATAAACATTTCTTACTAGGTAATTTTTTAGTAATTATATTTTCTTTAGTGAGATTGTTTTTCTAAGCTTTCAGCTATTTTTTACATTAGTATATTTGTTTATGTTACTATACTGTTCATCAATTTTATATATACGACCATGTCTATCCCTTTTAATATCAATCTATTCATTCATTTTATATGACATATTTCTTAGTCATTATTGATCTTAAAGTGACCTTGGTTTGTTGAATATTTTTCATATATACATTTTAAAGCTGTTAGTTGAATGCAATGTGCTATAAAAACATGATTGAGAACAATCTTATTCATTTGCTGAGAGTAAGTCTGACTAATAATCATTATGTAGTAGTTAGACGTAATTTTTCGTATAAACTAAAAGCAATTGGTGGTACATTAAACAGTATATTCACTTGAGTTCAGCTTCATGTTGCAAACTACTTTACAATTTGTGAAGAACATATGATTAATGTGTATATGATCGATGAGTGAAAACTAAAACACAACACCGTTTTCATTAAGAAAGTAAAGGAACAAAAGAATTGCTGGCGATCGAAAAACCAACAGATGTACTTAGTTTTTCATTTGAAATCAGGAATCACTCATTGTTAGAACATCATTAGAAACCTGGAAGCACTGGACGGCCCTATCGTCTTAGTATGGGACTCATCAGTAGTGCCTATTCATGACGTCCAGTCTCGCGATGGGGAACACTAAACCTTTAGACTACTGAGGCGGCATTCATCCGTGTTAATGTCCAACTTTAATCAAACCACGATACTGCGCAACCTCACCCATTGTCTTCGGTATTCGCCGCCTACACCCGACAGGGTCGAATTCCACTGGAGGTAACCGCAGTCAAATGTTTACAGGTTTCTAAGGGTGGTCTATGAGTGGTTCCGGATTTCAAATGAATAACAACTATCTCCATATCTACATGAATATTTACTTTTGTTTTAGTTTGAAATTATTCAAGTGTACAATAATCCATAACCAGAATGGAACGTATAAGATGACTTTGAACAATTAACTTAAAATTTACTATGTACGACTTTAACTGTTTTACTATAACTGCCTCATTCAACATGTGATCGATTTCATCAAAACACACTACTGACAATCTCCAAATAAAACGCAACTTTGAAATTTATCATATAGTATTATTTTCCTCGATAATAAATGGTGGAACATAGAAGTGACTGAAAGTCTTGTTCAGAATATATTGCACAGACTTTTCAGTGCACAGTAGTCGTTGTGGCTTTCGACTGTCTTATAGTACGTAAATCTAAACTAACCTTGTAAATTAATAATGATTCCAAACTTCCCTAGGTCTGAATTGACATCTAGAATTCGCTTTCAGACAAGCGAACATATTTCGCACGGAATCTGAAAAACCGTGCGTGCGGATGCGAATGAATATTATAAATAATAGGTGAAACAGTCGGCAGAATAAACCTTTTGAATATCGAAATAGTGAGTGACGTCCGAGAAGTTTTCAAAAAGATGAGCACAAAATATAAATATATGAAATACTTCGATGTCAGCAACTCTAAAAATATTTTCGCAGAATTTATACCACTTGAAACAATCTGATAATCTTGAAGTGAAATTAAGTCTACTAGAAATCCCGGTTTCTTGTTTTATTGAAAGTTAGCATTTACTTAATAAAAACCCATTTGTTCAGCACCAAAATTTTATAGCTTAGTACGGAGGTGAATAAACGCTTTAGTGGCGAACGAGTCGAGATTGACTTTGATCACTAGACAGACAGATAGATACAACCCAGAACTTCGTACGTAAGTACATCAGTTCAGGTTGCCATACCACATCAGCACATAGACGCAACTGTCAATTCAAATCCAAGAATGATAGCGATAGTAGAAGTATTAGCAGTAATGGAGAAGATTAGGGTTCGAAGGTATGATTCGGAAGTATAATTCACTGAGATACATCTAGAAAGAGAAAGATAGAGATGACGAGAAATTCAGAAGGTTAGAATCTGATAGAACACAAAGAGTGGATGCACTCATACACCTAAACTGATATTAATTTTAAAAAACAGCAGCAACGTAGAACTTCGTGCGTACGTACACCAGTTCATGTTGCCATACAACATTAGCACAGACATGCAATTGTGACTTCAAATCCCATAGTAGTAGAAATATTAGCTGTTATCGGGAAGATTATTTGAGAAGTATAATCTAGTTATATAAACTTAAAAAGTAAAAGATATAGATGATGAGGAACTCTGAAGTTTATGATTTGAGAGAGCATGAAGAATGAATGCACCTGCGCCATTGCAAACGGTTTCAAGCCATATCATTCAAGGTCTCTAACCATCGATTACATTCACCTCGCGGACCCCGATCAGGTAGTCAACACCTACCAACATGGCTCAGTCTAGTTTGCAGGGACGTCATTGGTTCTTTTAGCTTGGCCGTCCCTAGCTTTCTTGCAACCTAATCCAACACCACGAAACGTAGCTCGACGAGGCAGTCGCTGGTCCGGTATACGCAACACATGTCTCAAACCTCTCAACTGATGTAGTTTCACTACTTCATTTATTGATTTGCCATTCTTACCTAGCACCAGTTTCATAACTACAGAATCGCTTACTCGAATATCCCAGGATGCACCAGCAATGTTTCGGAGACAACGATGGTCGAAGACTAGTAACCTACGAAAGTCCTCTACTCTTAACGGTCATGTCTCACAGCCATAAAGTAAGACGGAACAAACTGCTGCAAACGGATATCCCGCCTTCCTCAAAAGTGACGCATGTTGGCAAAAGCCAATCGAGCTTTCCGTATCTGTGCTTAGATTTCGTCACATACCAGGCTCCTGAGATAAGTGAAGTGTTCAACGCGCTCAACAACTTCACTCCCCATCACTAGTTCAGGTGCCATCGCAAGCCAATCAGGAAGCAACATTTTGCATTTCGAGTGGGAAAATCGCATCCCGAACATGCTTGCATTGCTGCTCGAGGAGGTCAGAAGACTCTGCATTTTATCAGCGTCTTCACCGAATAGGGCTCTGTCATCAGCATATTCTAAGTCAACAATCGTGTCTCCTGGTAGAAGGTCCACTCCTGAAGAGTCAGGTGATGGTAATGTTACCTCTAGAAGCATATCTATGACAAAATTAGACAGAAATGGATAGAGTGGACAACCTTGACGGACATCACCAGAAACAACGTGTTCCGATGACAGTTCGCTATAAGCTCTATTTTCACCAGTAGTGTTCGAGTAGAGGGCTTGTATAAGGTTATTCTACTCCTATGGTAGACCTTTTAATGACAGACACTGCCAGAGAACCTCACAATCGACAGTGTCGAATGACGCTTTAAGGTTAAGGAATACTACTATTGTGTGGCGTCTGAACGTGTGTCTTTGTTCTAGGACCTGTCGTAGTGTGAACATCTGGTCTATACAGCCACGTCAAGATCGAAAACCAGCCTGGTTTTCTCTAGTCTGTACTTCACAAGCTCCAGTTGAGCGTCTAAGTTTAATCAAGGCTATCAATTTAGATACTACATTAGTTAGACTTATTTCTCAGTGATTGTGACAAGAGGACAGTCAATGATTGAGACCAGTCAGATGGGATTACGTCCAGTTATCAGACTCTACTTAAGATCTCAGTCAATCTAGCTGCTAAAGCTGGACCACCAGTTGAACTGATCCCAAAGTATTCTGCCCATTGGTCCAATCTCCTGGATTGAGAATGGATTATAAGACCATTCTTTTCAGAAATAGTCACACCAGCATTCGGATTCCTAATACCGGTTTCCTTGATAAGGCGGTACAACTTCCGCTGTTAACTATCGCTGCTGTCTCTTCCATCCCTTCTGCTTTCGCCACCCAGCACTGTTTGCGATTATTGCGCAGGCTTTTTATCAGCCTGCGTTTAAGCTGACTTCGTTCTTCATCATGTTCAGAGCCAGGAGAGATGAAACTACTAGCGTCTATCAGTTCAGTGGATGCTACTGAGATACACAGCTTTTACTTAGCCTTCTGGTTGACCTTGCTAGCAAATATAACTGCCGTTTCCACGGTCTTTTTTATATCATTCCTACCTGCCTCCGGATGGAGATCACTTACATGGTCGCCTGTCTTTCAAGTTGCTCCTGAAATATATTCATAGCTCTGCTATCATTAGGTAGAACCGTAAGATGTTTCCTCACAGTTTCTTTCCTACGTCCAGTAAGTCGCAAACAAATAAAAGCCCGCACTAGGGTATGAACTGAATCTAGACATGTGCCCTAGAACGAGAGACCACCCCATCGTTGTCTGGTGGCGATGTGATCTAGTTGGGTTCAATGTTGAGGCGACTTTGGGGGTCCCCAGGTTCCTTATGCTTATAGTCAGTGTATGCTAGAAATAGGCGGTTATTTGGGCACAATTGCAACAGATAGTTGACATCATCTGATCAGTGGCATCATAAGATCAGCCTATTGCTCTATTTGACACAATGTTCGTACGTTACATGTTCCAACATTTATATTGGAATGAGGTTTTAGGAGACCAGGAAATGGGATATACTACAGCAGCTTCTCGCTATAGAGAGGTTACACTTTAGGTACGCTGCGGTGTCGTTCGGGTGACTGATCGGCAAACGTGCTATTGTTATACAGAAGGGTTGACGAGCAGGAGGCTATCCGTGCTGCTCAAGTTGTCGCAGTAGGTCTTTTACGGACAACGGTACTAGTAGGAACATGCTGTGTGTGCGGCTTGAAATCTCTGAACATAATCATATACCTTGAGCTGTAGTGAAACTTTAAAAAGCAGGTGCGAAGAAATCAACTATCTCGAGTGAACGATATTGAGTATTGTATGTCGCAATTTTGATTGGTCGTTCAAGGACGACGGTATTGTATAGTTATATTCAGAGCCACATTTGAATGTAGTTGTCCAGGTTTGTACTCGTAATGATTAAAGGATGAGTATCCTGAAGAATATGGACTGGTGTGCTGGTAAAGGTGGTGGTAAAATATATGAGTCGTCTGTTGAATTTCAAGACGGCACTAATGTTTATGACATATCCATCGCGACGAAGGTCGAAGACTATTACTCCCTTAAAGTTCTTATCTTTTATGTATATTGTATTCTATAAATTTCAGAGCGATTTGGTTGATTTGATGTCATCCTTACTAATTAAAGAATTCGATGCTGAGAACAGGAAGTTATTGGGAATACTGATTGATAAGTGTCTTCGAAAAGACCCTGAATTCATACTCAAAGTAATGCATTTTACTTCAACCATGGTTTCTAGGTTGCCCTTTGTTTCCATAAATTATTAGATATTGGAAAAGCTGCTAATATTTTGATTGCGATAGCTTGTTTTTATGAAGAATGTCGTGTTTTTATAGAGAAGTATTATAATGCTTGCATTTGTACGCCTTTCGATTGGATAGAAGTTGCTGAGTTCTATGCAGTAAGCTTGCAATATTTTTTAAAACTTACTTTAAAGTCACTTAGCGGTGATCTTAAACTCAAAAGAATGCCAAAAGCATTGAGAAAGTGTATGGTTTCGAAATTTGGTGAATTTGATCAGAATCAACTAGGTAAGATCATATCGATTCTACGATTTTGTAGCTCGTTGCAAACGAAGGTTGAGCGATAAATGCTTTCACAAGTCCAAGGTAATTCACCTGATAACTTTTATTTCCATCAGATTAGTGGAGGAGTTGCAGGTGGTATAATGGTGGACATTGCAACGGACAGTTTGCAGTCGAGACTGGTTGATCCTTCTCCGATATCGTTTACATTGAAAGACGTCGTTCGTAAATTGCATATATCAAGACCTGCGTTTAACGTCATGTGTATTCTTGGAAAGCTATATCCCGCTGATATTACTGCTTTTTCTAAAATGGGTCTAGAAGGGGATTGGGACGCTAGTAAAGGTGGTGTACGCATGAAACTTCCTATTCAATCTAAATGGAAATTAGGACTAGCTGCAGGTAAAAGCCGTACCACTTGGGCAAAGATCATAAGTGAGTTTTGCTGTTCAAATGTTTATACTGCTTAAACAAACATCAATTGTGATCAACAACGAAGTGACAACACTGAGTTGGTAACTATTTATTTTTTTCTACTGCTCAGTATCAAGAATTAGTTGTGAACTGTTGATTGCCCCAGAGGTTCATCTGTCATCTCCATTACATTTAGTTATGAGGAATTCGGTTTAGTCATGCCACTGCATGTTTCTCACAAATGGAAATACTACTACTTGCCATATTTAAAAGTGTCTCAGTAATTGTTTACATTACTCTCAAAAATCTCTGTGAATGTTTCATAGTCTAATATTAGTAAAGTCCCCTGCATTGTAAGCCTTTTTTTAATCGATTCTTCTGGGGTATACATCTCAGGTGATATATCCGATCGCTAATCTTTATTATCACTGCTAATACTTCTACTACCTTTACTACTATGGGATTTAAATTGACAGTTTCATCTCTACGTTAATATGGTGTGACAACTTGAACTAATATACTTATGTACTCTATGTTGTAACTGACTGACTTTATTGTAAACCTTAATAATTTTTTCGTTAGAAGAGGCTTTCAATTCACGCGGGTTTCGGAAAAATAACAAGATGAGTGAAAGAAATTTATTTAGCAGTATAAAGCTAGTTAGTTTAAAAGTGATCAATTCCATGCACGATAGACTTGAAGCTAATATGACATTATTTTAAGTACTACATTTGACCGTAAAATAGAGCCCAATTTATTATTTTTTCTAATATTCATTTATCATGACATTGCTGATCGAGTTTTATACCTCGATATCAATCTGCCGTTAGTGAGTTTGAGCAGTGTATTTTGAAATAAGAAAACCATTTTATAGTTCTGTTTTCATTTGTTTTTACTTAGTGTCTGGCGATCTGTGTCACGAATCAATTCTAACAAACTTAAAAGGTATCCTATGCTCACGCATTCCTCAAGGTGGACATGATATTGTTTTACAGAGATTGTCAAATCCGGTGAGTGTTTATAGCTCAAGCCTTTTATCTATGCGGTTTATTATTTTATCTTTCAGCCATATTAATCCAAAACTTGAACAGCGTTTAGTGACTACTACATTAGAGTGATTATTGTGAAATTTATAATTTGTCTTTAAAAAATTGCTAAGTAATTAATTCCGTGTTGAAATATTTTCTCCGAAGCCAATTATGTAGTTAACAACAACTCAGTGCTCATCAGTAATCTATTTCAAAATCATCATCTCGACGTTCCATCAGAAAGTTTCCATCTGCGGAATGAACTTTGTGTTTGAGTGAAGATGACATTCATTGATGAAAGTCATGTTATAATACTGGAAATTTATTAACTTCACAGGGTATTGATTACCACTTGAGTTATATAACATGTTTGCCTGGCTGTTAAAATGTTAGTCATCATGCGTAAAGATGATGGCCTGAATTCCGTGTAGAGAGATAGGAAGGAACTAACCCTTGCAGAATGTCAGTCGAATTTAATAATGTTTCCCAATGCACTCTGGTTTTTAATATTTTATTAGTTGTTATTCGTTTGGAATTGGAGTAGTATAAAAACTTTCAAATGCCTCCGTAGGAATGTATGTGAGGTTTTTGTAAGGAGTAATGCCATTTTATACCTGCTTTAACTAGACTTTACAGCGTTTACTTAGCTGAATATATTTTGTTGAGATAAAAGAGCTTCTCTTATTTTTAAAAATATATATTGTTAGTAAATTTTCTGTAAGAGTCTCCGGTAAAGAATCTCACGGAAGATTATTCGTCACAATATAACATACTGCTAATTTATTAGGCTCGTTATCAGTGCTAGTTTTATACTGTGCACAAACGTAACAGTGCTCCTACTAGTTGCGGCACATCTACTATGACTTATTTCGATGTTTTATGGTCAGATATTGTTGTTCGACAACAGAGTAGCATTGTTTATTGTACCAAGTTATCAAAGGAACTGATTTTTTGTATGGTTGATACCATTTGGGATACCATAGAAAATTAGGCTCCACCTAGTAGTTATTTTATCATAATATGAAAATCCAGTGCTGGTCAGCAACCCTTCTACCGATCACGACTCGGACCATCAGATTTCACTGTGAGCACTGAATTCTTAAACTAGTGAGTTTGCGATCGATTCGTCGCGCTTGTAATTAAATGGTCATCACTATCGATGGCAAGTGACTGTTTGTGCCGTGCCACGAATCGACTGCAGTTGGGGTCCTGCGCTACTGAATCGCAACTCGGTAAGATGAGTTCAACGTTATAATCAAACAAACATCGATTCCCCGTAAGATCACACGTGGCTGAATATTGATTTTCCACTTAGTTTTCAGTAGAACTTCATTTGATATTAATCTGTGACAAACGTAGCATGCAAATTATGCTAATGATCACGAAACGTCCTAAACAATTTATAATCTGTTCAAAATAAAACTTCTGCTCTCATTAATTAAAAATATATACTGCTGTTACATTCAAGGGTATCGAAAGTTCTCGCTAATAAAATAACAGAAATATTATTCAAAAATTGACTGATGACTTAATCAGTTTAGATTATCGAATGTTTAAATGTTATTTTGAACTAGTTACTTAAAAGAGAAAGTGAATTAAGAGATCGTGCTCGACAGACAAACAAATACTCTTTCATCAATCATTGTTAGACCACCATTAGAAACCTGGAAGCACTGGACGGCCGTTTTGTTCCGCTATGGTGCTCATCAACAGTGCGCACCCACGACTCATGCACCTCGCAGGATTCGGACTCAGAACCTTCGGTTTTGCACGCGAACGCCTAACCTCTGGACCAGTGCCCCGGCATCCGGCGGTGATAATGTCTAACTCTGATCAATCTAGGGTGTCCCATACCAGGAAGAAACGGCCGTACAGTGCTACCAGGTTTCTAATGCTGGTATAACAATGATTAATTGATGATTTCAACGTGTAAAACACTGATCTCCATAACTCTAATTGAAAAAAACAAGTAACTCCTAATTCGTACTGTTATTGAGTTGATTTATGTTTAGTGTGATAGTTACATACTTCTTAAGGATCGAAACAACTTGATTTCCTATGATTAACCAGTTGATGTCAGTTTACATTGTAAGCCATTTCGTTTTCGAAATGATTAACTCGCTCAATGGAATACATAATTTGTTTACCCTTTTTTTATACAATAAATCCTTGTCGTCCAAAAGATATCCTTTCTGAGTATACCCCTTTATGATTTGGATTTTAAGATAGCTGTTATAAAGATTATTTGCACAAAGAGTATCTTAACAATTTGCTTTAATTTGTTTTAAATTTTTA